GGTTTGATATTCCTAGAATTCCAATTCTTAGTCATCTCTAAAGGTTTAAATACTTAAATGCAAGTATTTATCACTCTTCAGGGACCTCTGTAGAATTTATTTACATTTGGAGTTACATTATCAGAGTTCATTTGAAAAATATTAGCAAGAAAGCTGTCTAGTTAAAAAGTATTACCACAAATGTAATTCCTTAAGACAAATCTCCCAACTTTTAAGAGCTAAAAAAAAAAAAAATGCCACCTGCAAGCTGTAAATATGTGCATTAATTTTTCCCAGGGTATTTGCTTTGGCTATGACCTATCCTAATACTCAGCCAAAAGAGGGCTAAAAATTGTCAAGCCAGGTTCTTGCTTGAATGCTGAACTCCACTGGCACTTTGAGAGAAATGCACCTCCAGGTTTAGGGAATATGTTTTGTTTGTTTTGGCTACAACACAGGGCAGAACAGTTTCCATCCCATTCCAACGCATTCAAGAGAGTTTGAAATATTGCACAATAAAAGTCATTCATTATATCTGTCTCCTTTCCCTTCCAAAAACAAAAATGGCTACCCAGTTCCAAATGGACACAGGGGACAGGAAGAGGGGGGCACGGGGTCACTGGAACCCACCCAAGACCAACACCAGGTTTTTCAGGTCTGAGTTAAGGATTACTTTTGAAATCTTCGCTCCCAATGTATGCTTAAAACAAGAAAAGACAAGATTAGTTGCCTGCGTGTCTTTGCTCTGCAGTGAATAAATGTGATTTGGACAGCTTGAATGTTTTCAAATGGTAGGTATTTGAAATGGGCCATTTTACAATCAAGCAACTGGTATAAATTGCACTAAACTTCCTTGAACAGAAAAATTCTTTTATTCATTTTCTCTTTGGTTTCAACCACTTGAAAGCAATTTTATACTTAAAAAAAAAAAAAAGATTCCAGTTTGAAACAAACATTCGTAGGACAGACTTTTGTTAACACTTTGCAGACATCTGACAGCCCCATACAGAGGAACACTGATATAATTTCCTTCTTTACGGACAGGCACCTTGGATACCACAACACTGGAAATGCAGCTTGGTTTTATATGACAAAATCAGAAATACCACTATCAAATCACTATGTTTAAGGTCAGGAAAGATGACCACAGTGGAAGAACTTTTGGAAACTAAATTCTAGCCGGGGCGAAGGTTATGAAATAAGTAATTAGATGTTGGAAACAGATTTAATAGTGACCTTCAAACTTCACAGCTTAAAAAATTCACAGGCATACACATGAGGAATTAAGAGCTTTACAAAAGGTAATGTGATTTGAGCTTCTCTGTTACATCGAAAACTCAAAACGCCAGTCTGTTTGCACCCCAACAAGTCAGCTCCTCACTCACTGGAAATCTCAGGGTGAAATCCCAGCCAACCTGACAAAACGCAAGCTTGTATTTTTCTCCACTATTCATGCCCATCTTCTCCCCTTTCATATGTGATATAATGCTGAAAGCACCAATAATAGTAGCAGTTCCAAGTGCTTTAATTCCAACTTCCTCAGTTCCCAAACATTTTTTCTTTTTTCTTTTTTTTTTTGGGGGGGGTCCGGTCGTGGGGCCTGAACTCGGCCTGGGCGCTGTCCCTCAGCTCTTCAGCTCAAGGCTAGTGCTCTACCACTTGAGCCACAGCACCACTTCCGGCTTTTTTCTTTTTGTTTATGTGGTGCTGAGGAATCGAACCCAGGGCCTCATGCATGCAAGGCAAGCACTCTACCACTGAGCCACCTTCCCAGCCCCCCTCCCCCCCAAACATTTTTCTAATGAATCTTGCAGGTCCTAACCAAGATAAATATGATCTTGGTTGAAGATAACAGAAGAAAAATTGGTATCTGCTGATTGGCATAATTACTGTTCTCATTTAAAACACTCTGCTACTTGTGGCTTATTTGATTTTTTTAAAGCAGAAATTCATCAAGGAATTACAATGGCATGCCAGAACATAAGACAAACTGGAAATCCTTAGGACTTAGAAAATGAACAATCTTTGTACCTCAGAGGCTATGCAGTAATAACCAGCAAAAGGCAGAGCTGGAAGTATAGTTCAAGTGGCAGAGCACCAACCTAGCAAGCAAGCTGGACTTAAGACAAAACCTTGCTCAGTTATTTATTTTAATGCTAATTCCAGTCACTTGATCTAAGATTTCAAACCCAGAGTGAAATTCTTCAGGGGACAAAGACACCTAGGAGGAGTTTGACAGAAGTGCATAGCATTGAAGTTTCTAGCTTGTACGTACAATTTGCAAGCCGTGCAGTTTCAAACCCATGCTTTGTCCAGTCATATTTGTAGGCTAAAGTATGATGGAAGTCATGACTGGAGCAGTTAACACCCACAGCCTGGCCTCTGAATGGAAACCCAAGTGTGGAGCCGATTCTGCCTCTTGAAATCTTTCCAGCCCTGCTCCCCCCCCCCCCCCCCGCCCCCTCCCTGTCTGCCAGAGCAGTGCCACCTGGAGGGCTGGCGGGTGAGGTGAGGGCAGCGCTTGTTCACCCCCTGGTCCTCAGTGTCCTTCTGCCCCTTGGAGAAAACAGAGCATCTGGACCGTGATCGTACTTAGAGGTGGAAGCCTGCTGCACAGTAATCGTTGAATACATGCCTGGCAAATGCATTATCAGTAAATCTATATAATCTGTCCACCTGGGTGGCCTGCTGAACACATTCCCGTGTTAAGGAATAATTCCCAAATGTTAAGGCATGTAGTAACCATTTGTATACTAAACTTTTTTACCACTTTGATTTGTAAAGATAAAGTTATCCTTTCTTAAAAAAAAAAAAAAGGTTTTTTTAGCAACCTTGATTTTGAGTCTTCGTTTAATTTACTTTTCTTACTGCTATCTACACTGCCACATTCAGAAATGGGGAATGGATGACAACCAATCTCCCAGCCACACAGGATGATGATGTGGAATATTTGAGCCGCAGGGAACCGGTTCAGGGAGGGCTGGACTGAGCACACAGGCCTCTGGGCCGCGTCTCAGACAACTCTGACTCCCCAGCCCGGCCGGCCTCTCCTCTGTACAAGGCAGCGAGCTCCCAGACAGCAGGCTAACTTTCCTTCTACTGGCCTCTGTCCCTCCTGCCCTGCCCCCCGATAACTTTAACCATATTATGATAAAAAGGCACAGGAGAGAAAAAAAGATTGCAAGATGCCCCAATGCTGGCACAGGAGTAGACATGATAGAGCAATGGAACGAAGTCGGAAAGAGCCGCAGCTAGAAGGGCACGGGACTTCAACACAAGTACCGCGTAATCCACGGGGAATGGATACGCGTTCAGCAAATGCTGAAACAAAAACAAAACAAAAGCACAAAAAGCCTACCCTCATCTGACACAACAGACTCCAAATAGATTTCAGACTTACAGGAGAAGTAAAACTGTAAAAGTTCTGAAAGAGGATGGAGGAGAGGAAAAAACTGTGCGGTCTCAGAAAATTTCTAAAGACACAAAAAGTAAAAAGCACTTTAAAAAAAACAAAAACAAAAACTGTTCCTCTTCTGTTTTTCAAGAAAATAAGATAAACCAGATCGAGGAAAAGAAAAATAAAGGACCTACATTTAAAAAATACTTCTAACTCAGTAATAGTAAGACATCACTATCAACAGGAAAACAGAACAATGAGGTAAAGAACTAAAGGCAAGCTCATCAAGGCAGCCACACGGGTTATTTCCCACATCACCGGCTGCGGTAGAGTACAAGCCAGCATCGCTCATCCCCACGCGCTTTCAAACACGGCTACGTGGAAACGGTGGACAACGCCACATGCTACCAAATAACCTCAGCATGCTAGCCATACAAATGCCCAACAGCGCAGACACTGCAGGAAACATATGCCATCCACACATTCCTGACATCCAAGATAAACGAATACATGCCTATTAAAAAAAAAAACACATGTAAATGGAGAGTAGCTTTATTGACAACAGCCAAAAACATAAACAATGCGAATATCCATCAAGTATAGAACGGACAAACACATGCTGGTATACTTAGAACATGGAATACTACTCAGCAACACACTACTTGTGCCACAGAACATAAAATCTCAACAGCAGACACAGAGGGACACTACATGATCTCATGTCTATGACATTCGAGGAGAGGCAGGGCCATAAAGAAAAATCAGATGAGCAGCTGTGAAGGGTGGGGCTCGCAGAGTGATCAAGATGCTGGAAATATTCCATTACTTTACTGTTGTATGTGCTCTTTTTCAGTCAACTTTACCGGATGGTTTCTTACCTCCATACACCTGGCCCAAATGTCTTTCCATCGAATGTATGTCACGCTATAAGACCTGTCAACAGCTTTGTCCTGGTTAGGCCAGCTCTAAATGTGTCCCTCATCTCTACAGAGTTCTGGTGAAGGTACAGTGAGAGAAAACCCAGGCCAAGTGGAAAAAAGTAACAGGAAAAAAAATGATGGAAACAAAGGCAAGGATGCCAAGTGTGCGACAGGGGCTTGCTCGCCATCCACACAAAAGAACTTCAAAACCATCGCTTTGTCTTACTGACGTTTTCACACAAGCCCTGTGTGGCACAATTTTCAATAGCAAAATCTGGAGACAGAGACCAGGTATGGTGGAACACGTCTGTAATCCCAGCTACTCGGGAGGCAGAAGGCAGGAAGATCATGGCTAGCCCAGGCAAAAGTGCAAGACCCTCTCTACCCAAAACCAAAGCTAAGTACAAAGAAGCTAGGGGTGTGGCTGCAGTGGAAGAGTGATTCAAACCCCAGTACTTGCCAACAAGGAAAAACAGAAATCAAAACTGTGTAATCCCAAGCAGGGAATTTAAGAAGACGGAAGTGGCAGCCAAGCTATGATGAGACAGATATTCACTGTACTTTTCTGAAAAGTTTGCTTGCAGAAGGGTGCATATGTGGTAACCCCATTGTGTTAGCACACAGAGCTGGGTGAGATGGACGGTGTCTGTGTGGGCTTCTCCTTCTCAATTCTGTACTGTTCTAATGGAAACCTGTGATTTGGGCTAATAGAGCAAGGCATAGGGAACAGGAGGTGAGAGCAGGCCTGGGTCTTCCGCTAACACAAGGGAAGGGAAAACTTGAGGTGTCACACTGCCACCTTCTGGAAGAAGCAGGAACCTGCAGGGACAGGGGAAGATGAGGGACGGAAAAAGGCAGGAAAAAACTACCTTGAAGCTATGTCTCTGATTTAAACATTCCCGGAAAGAAATAGTAAAAGAAACGAGCATGACCAAACAGTTTATGAAATCTTTTGGTAAGAATGCGACTATTTGATTTTTCAGACTTGGCCTTTTCAGAAAAACTGCTAGTGTTTGTGGCATAAAAACCAAAAAAATATTTCTCATGAAACCCTGTGAAACAGAACTGGTAAACTGTAAGTTTTCAACTGTGGGTGTCAGTAGACAGGGAGGTGCTAGATTTTCAGGAAGGTGGGAAGGCTGATGACGATAGGTTTTTAACCTTCACCTTTAACTTTTGAGTGATGCAAACATGTTTTTTAAACCTCCAACTCAGGTTTCTGAAAAACCTTTGTTCTTGTTATTTTCATTATAAACCAAAAATCGTCCTAAGTCAGTCTTTTTTCATAGTTTGTTGTCAATGATATGGATTTGACCACCATACCAAACCCTAAATAACTTACATGTGAAGATTAAAGAAACGTTTGGACAATCCACCCTTGAGCAGCAAGAGGCTGGGATGGCTCTGGGTGTTAATGTAAAATACATTAGCCCTGACCAGCAGGAGCTCCAGACCTGCCGGTGCCAGGGCGGTAACAAATAGTCTCCATCTACAAGGGGGAAACGGCCGCCCAGCGGGAGCTTTCTTCCCTGTTGTGTTATTTATTGGGAGCTCTATTTGTTAACATGTTTCTGCAATCAAGGACAGAGAGAATTTAAGGATTTACAGGATTTCAGAGACAACTGTTTAATGATAGAACGATTTATGTACATTCACAGATTCCAAATAGACAGCAATTTAGATTTCCAATCAGAACCACCAAAACATTCATAGGAAATGTGCAAAAGATGAAGCAAAGAAACAGGCAAGCAACTGCAGCAGATATTATGAGATGGAAAATGAAGCTGCTGAAAATGATATTGAAAGAGAAAGCAGTGTGCTACCAGTTCTGGTTAGTGAACTAATTTTCTAGAACTCCTTCAAGAGTTTCTGCTTTGCACATTTTTAAATGGAAAATCATGAATTAAGTCCCAAATTACCTGTGACAAAGTTAAATAAAGTGAATCTGGTCTTTTAAAGATGAAAATGCTCTATTTTCATGAAACACCAGTCTCTCCCTCTATGTTCAAAGCACAGACTCTTGTTGAAAGCATGCTTTCACATTAGTTCTGCCTAAATTATTCAATCACTTACAATGATAGGCTGACGAAATTCTCACTGAAGGGATTTTTCTGAAATGTTAAGATTTGATTTTAACTTATTAAAGTAAAAACTTCATTGAAGGCAGATGAGGCATCAAACTTCCTCTTAAATGCAACCCAAATCGGGTTCCAAGATCTCCATTTTCCTAATCGCTATTAGACTTTTAATCATTTCAGCCTCTACCACCTCATTGTATGTTTTCAAGTTTATATTACCTTAGTTTTCATAAAGTTCCACTATTTCTATCCATTTTACCTAAAAAAACGAACCTCAAAATCAAAAGTCACTTCTCAGGTTTGCTTTGACAACAGCCTAAACGCCTGGTGGTAGAGAGCGCTTCAGATGTGAGAATTACAAGTCGGGCCTTTAGTGGGGTTCTAAGAGGACCCTGTCCGTAGGTAACAGCGAAAGCCTTTACCAGTGTGCGGGGACGTCCGCTAGACCGCGCTTCCGCCTCTGCTTCCAATGACGGACACACTCACTCATTTCTCCTTCGAAGTCCGTCGACTCGCAAGGTTTTTATTGTTACAAAGGGCAGGGCACTGAGATGGGGGGACGGGGCGTGGCAGGGGAGCGGCTCAGGGCGCCGGCCGGCGCGCGGCGGGGTCGGCCCCGGGGTCGGCCCCGGGGTCTGGGACGGCCCAAGGGCTCGGGGGCCTCGGGCGCGCTGGCCGGTGTGGAGCTGCAGCTCCGCCGCCACCAGTGCCGCTGGGGCACCGGGATCGGGACGGCGGGCGGGCGCTCCTCGGCCCCTCCGCACGGGGCGCCGGGCCCCCCACTGTCCACCGCGCCCACGGTCCTCCGCCTGGACGCGGGGGGCGCGGGAACCCACATCAGCCCCTGGCCGCAGGAGTCTCTCTGGAACCGGGAGCTGCGGCGCACCCTGGGCTGGACGCCGGCTGCGCACAGGGACTGCTCCATGGCCTCGGCCAGCTCCTGGCAGAGCCGGGCCGCATCCACGCCCGGGCCGTGGGGAGGGCCAAGGCTCTCCGTGGGCCCCGCGTGGACTCCCGGGCCGTGGGGAGGGCCAAGGCTCTCCGTGGGCCCCGCGTGGACTCCCGGGCCGTGGGGAGGGCCGAGGCTCTCCGCGGGCCCCGCGTGGAAGCCTGGGCCGTGGGGAGGACCGAGGCTCTCCGCGGGACCCGCGTGGACTCCCGGGCCATGCGGAGGGCCAAGGCTCTCCGCAGGACCTGCGTGGACTCCCGGGCCGTGGGGAGGGCCAAGGCTCTCCGCGGGACCCGCGTGGGCGCCCGGGCCGTGGGGAGGGCCAAGGCTCTCCGCGGGCCCCGCGTGGACTCCTGGGCCGTGGGGAGGACCAAGGCTCTCCGCGGGACCCGCGTGGACGCCCGGGCCGTGGGGAGGGCCGAGGCTCTCCGCGGGACCCGCGTGGACGCCCGGGCCGTGGCTCTCCCGGGTCTCCACCTGCGCAGGGCCCGAGCAGCAGGGCTGGCGCGGGGGGCGCCCCCGCGGCTTCCGGGGCCTGGAGCTGGGGTCTGCGTCCGCAGGCCGCCCCGCAGCGCCCTCCGCAGTGGAGGCCTCTCCCCGCGGATCCTCTGCACCGCGCTCGCGCTCACATGGCGGCCACTGTCCCTCCGCAGCGCAGTCTCCGCGCTCACGCTTCCCGCTCGCACCCTCTGTGGATTCGGAGCCGGGGCAAAGCTCTCGTGTGCCCGGGCCCGCAGCAGCCAGCTCCGGGCCGCGTGGACGCTCGCGGGGCGCGGGGTCCCCCTCGGGGGGCTCAGGGGCGCCCGCGCTTCCCGGCAGGCTCTCTGCTTCGGGGGCTCCGTCGCCGAACCGGGCGCGCGGCCCTGCCTCGGGCGCGGGCACTGCGGGGCTGTCCTGGGGGAAGTGGGGGCGCGCGGGGGCCTGGAGATCGGGGCGCACCGGGAACAAGCTTCTGCGTCTGGCGGCGTTGCTGGCGCGCGCGTCCTCCAGGCCCAGGGGGCTGCGGTCACCTGCGGAGTGCGAACAAGGCTCAGTCATGGGCACGGGCACGGGCGCGGGCGCGGGCGCGGGCCTCGGCCTCCGCCCCAGGTTTCAGGCTCGGCCATGGGAACTCTGTGAGGGCAGAGCAGCGGGCAGGATGCCCAGCTCTAAGTCCTCTGTCAACCACCGGCGTCTGGAGCACTGTATTCTGGGTCTCTCCCCTTCATCTCCGACTCACTTTCCTCCTGGTGGTGGAAAGGCCACGGGAGGTGCCACCTCTCCAGTGGGGAGGTCTCCGCCCCGCCCGCCCGCCTGCCCGCCCGCCCGGGGACCACGCTGGCTGGAGCTGCTCGGAGGAGGAGCGCAAGGACAAACCCGATCGCACACACCCAACCCTGAGCACCAGCCTAGGCAAAGCACGGCTTCCACGAGCTCCCGCAGGGCGTGGGGCTGGCGGTGGGCTCCGGCGAGGCCCACAGCCCGGCCAGCAGCTGGGCTCTTCCGTAGCCCTGTACCGAACTGTTCATAAAATCCAACGGACCAGGGAAAAGGCCGGCGGGGACAAGGAGGAGAACAAGAGAGGATGGAGAGAAAGCAGGAAGGGAAACTGCCTGTAACCCTTTAGTGACATCCTTGGGTACAAACATGTTTGTTTCCAGTACTGGCATTTCCTGGAAATTTATCAGCGGCTTTGGGCGGCCTTAAACACGGTGAAGCCAGTGGCCCTCCGGTCCCCCGGCCACGAGAAAAGACAGGTGGGTGGAGCAGGGGCAGGCGGTCGGAGGCCTGCATTTCTCCATTCACCCTCGGGTGAATGTACCTCCTCCACCCCTGAGCCTATGAATTACAACTCCTCATCAATAAACTCCTCATCAATAACCATAGTGGATGACAGACAGAGGTCGTTATTCTTTCAAAAATTATTCCGTGCAAATATCAACATGCCAAGTGGCCACATTAGTCACGTTAAAACTCAGGCATTAAGAGCTAATAGCAACTCCAAGCCATTTCTTATTTAACTAACCTTGATGTTTGCTTATAAACACTACTTTCGAGGTAATAATCTTAGTTTGTAAGTATTATTCCTAGAAGATATCATCTCTAAGGAAATATTGTGGGGCAAATTTTTTAATTTTTGTCCTCAAAATTTATATATATTAATAATTTTTGCAAAGTTATTAGTTTTCTAAAAAAATTATATACATCTTATGAGATGTATCCAATATTGAGTTACTGCCTTCTTCAGTAAGGCAACCAAATGCAATTCATTGTGACAAAATTCTTTAAGCAGCAAATTGTAGGACATCAGAACTAACTTCCCCCGGGAACTGCGTGCAGTGGTCAGGGGCTCTGGGTCCTGAGCTGCTGGGTCATGAATGAGGACAGCCTCATGCTTCCTGCGGTCCTTGCTAGTTTCGCACATGCGCAGCTTCCACAGTGAGTGGGAAAGGGAAGGAAGGGAACTGGAACAAAGAGGGAGGAGAAGGGCAGATACCTGAACAAGTGCTCCAGAAGCTGGGGCCTGAAGGCGTCATCTCGTTGCCCTCAGGCAGCTCAGGAATGGGGCTCAGGAGGGGTTTCTTGGAAGCAATGTCTCTTTCCCCATATAAAGACTTTTGAGTACTCTTCTTCCCCTTTCCTTTCTTCCTTCTGCAGCTTTTTCCAACCTGAGAAGATGTGTTAAAATGCTTGAGAAACACGTAGCGCCACGTACCACACACACATTTTGCCCTTTAAAACTTATTACTAGAAAATGCAAGATTTTATTCCATTTGAAATTTTTGGGTAGGAAGTAAATTACACAAAGTCAGAAAAATAGGAAACAGAATCCAACACACACACTGTACAACAGCTTCCTCTACTTGCCAAAGTAACTGCTGGATAAACAAGAGCCCAGATTGGACCCTGCACATCTGGACAAGAGGCATTTGTCCTAAATAGGACATAGTCATATAATATCACAGATTATCCTAGCCTAAGTTACCTGCTGATGGCTACTGGAACCAGTTTCCTGTTTACAGGCCTCAGAGAAGAAACCACAGGCATTTAGATACAACCTGAAGACCACAAAGCTAGCTCAACCAATTCAAACAAATACATTAACTGTGATTAAAATGGAGAAATTACAGGGGCTGGGGTTTGGCTCAGTAGAAGAGTGCTGTGCCTAGCATGTACAAGCTTCTCAGGCAAAACAGAAAAAGGTAACGATGAGAAAGGGTTTTAGCAAGCATTAGAAGATAGAGGAGACACAAGGCTCAGCAATAACCAATTTTCCACAATAGAAATGTCCATGAAACTCAAAATGTTTAAATACTTCTGGAATACAGAATCACAGAACAATCAGTTAACAAATGAAAAACATGTTCTGTTACAAAGAAAAAAAGACAGCTTCATATAGAGAAGACTCTAGGGAAACTCAAACACTCCACAAAGATAAGGGCCAGGCGCTGGGTGGCTCACGCCTGTAATTCCAGCACTCAGGAGGCTGAGATCTGAGGATCATGGTTCAAAGCCAGCCTGGGCAGAAAAGTCCCCATGAAAGTCTCATCTCTGACTAACCATTCAAAAACCAGAAGTGGAGCTGTGGCTCAAAGTGATAGGGTACTAGCCTTGAGCAAAAAAAAAAAGAGCCCAGAGATGGCACCCAGGCCCTGAGTTCAAGCCCACAAACCAACAAAAGAAAAAAAAAATTAGAGCAAAAGGAATGAAAATATCCTCACAGGCTTTCAAGATACACATGTTTTTGAGAAGCAGAATTCATCCAACATCCATGGAGAAACTGCCACGTGCCTGGTAATACCGTGTGGGATGAGACAGGCACACAGGACATGGCGTTAGAGGTGTGCCTGGGCCGGAGCCAAGGGCAGGACAGACTGTGTGGCCACTCTGTGACCTGGCCTGCAGAAGGCACGATGGCCCAGTCAGAGTTCAGAAGAACGGTTCTGCCCAATTAGGGCTTTTGAAAGAAAAGGAACAAACACAGGATCTTAAAGCGGGGCAGCAAACACAGACCAAGGATAAGTTCCAGCAGTCCAGAGCCAGGATACCCAGGTAGGAGCAGCAGTCACCAACTGCCAGCACAGAGGCCATGTGTGCAAAGCATCAAGGCAAAGCAAGGAGGACTCCCTGCGGGTGCAGCGAAGTGTGAACACCTTGAGCTTCCTCTCACCCAACGAAGAAGAAAAATCATGGGATGATAACCAGAAGACTTAGGAGAAAGAGATGTGAAAAGTGGGTGAGGAGAGACTGGGGTGAGGGGGAGATGGCAGAGATGACACCGAGATACATTGTTGCATAAACTGGTATGTTGAATCAAAGATTCTTTGAACAACTACTTAAAGTACTTTAAAAAGAAAAAAGTGGATGAGATTCAAAGAGCACAAAAATAGCATAAAACTTTGTTCCTTGAGATTTCGACAGCTATAAAAACAGAACCAAACACAACATTCCACAAGAAAACAATTTTAGAAGTGCACATGATGAATGTGCCTCTGGGTGATATACAACATACATTTAGCGTAGGACTCTGAGACGTTCCCAGTGTAAATAATCTCTCTGCTCAGAAAGAGAATGCCGGGTCTCCATCAAACTTCTTTTCTCAGGGAACATCTGCTGACATTCCGTGGAGCAGATGGGGAATGCTGGCTAGGTCAATGGATGCCAAAGCCAAGAGAAAAGAAAAATCTGAAGGTGGGACTCACAGATGAATTTCAAAAGAGAAACATTCATCCCCTGATGCCAGATACTGAGCATTGGAATCGTTTCTCCCACGTAACTGCTCCACAGCCTTAGTCAAGTAACTCAACTGTGCACCTGTCCTCTTCTGAGAGGCGGCCACTGCAGCAACGTGTGTGCACACGTGTGCACGCACACACACGCGCGTGCACACACACACACACACACACACACACACACGAGACACAAGGTTGGGGTGGGGTGGGAGTTAGCACGTGAGGTGTAGCACGGGACCAACCCCAGCTAGAAGTGCTGGCCACTCTCACCTTCCCATTCCTTCCCAATGCACTGGGAGTCTGGAGGTTATGTGATTTTCTTTGAATCTTCAAGTAAGTTTAAACAAGGAAGAAAAAACATCCCTTTTTTAGCATGACTTTGTTTATACAGATGGTCTAATACCTCTAACAGTGCCCAGCACAGACAAGGCTACTCACCAACTATGAATGAATGAATGAATATCAACCTTCTAATTCTTATTTAAGAAAAGACTGGATGAGCCAGGCGCCAGTGGCTCACGCCTGTAATCCTAGCTAATCAGGAGGCAGAGATCTGAAGATCGAGGTTCAAAGCCAGCCCGGGCAGGAAAGTCAGTGAGACTCATCTCCAATAAACCACCAGAAAACGGAAGTGGCACTGTGGCTCATGTGGTAGAGCGCTGGCCTTGAGCTAAAGAGCTGAGAGACAGCGCCCAGGCCCAGAGTTCAAGCCCAAGGACTGACAAAACAACAACAACAGAAAGACTGGATGAGTTGATAAGGGTGTCCGTGTTCCAGCTCAGTCTCCTCTTTGCAAGGAACTCTGTGTGGGGTCAGGCCAGGTAGGAGCCTGGAGAGAATCCACTGCCAGGCTTTGCTGGAAGGCAAGAGCCAGCTGTGGCACTGGTGAAGACTTCCTGAATGGCAGAACTCGGGCTGTAACCTAGATGACAACATCTGCCATGGGGCTCGAGGGGGAAGCAGGCGACGTGCCAACTGCTACGCTACGCGGCGTTCCACATAGAGGACTTCCATGAATCTGTTTTTTTTCAGTACCACTTTCTTGCTCTCCAAACCCACTGTACCTGCCAATTCTGAGCGGAGTCTCCTGGGACTCCCATAGGCAGGCTGGTTCCCAGATCCCTCTAGCTCCTTCCTAGCACATTCTGAGCTGTAAATCTTTCCACCTCTTCTATCTGTCAACATGTTCCCATCTGCTGCGTCTTCTAGAAATTCGTTTAGCGCTGCTGTCTGTTGCTTAACACCTCCCTCATTCCCTTTCCTTTCTAAGGTTATTATAAGTCTATTCCTTTTATTACATAAATTTGAATAATTCACCAGGGAATGGGAAGGAGTTGGAACAAGCTAATGCTCAATTCTTGAATTCTGTGGTCACTGACTTGATATAAAAAAAATAGATGTACATTATTCATCAGCGTTTTTAAAAGTATACATATGAAAGAAGTCAATTATTAAATGGAACAAGTTATATGCTTAGTTTTGAACTTAGGCAATTTTTCCCAACAAAAGGAATCTTTATCATTTAAAATGTGACCTAACAAAAGAAAATAAACCAGGACTTAGATTTGATGAGTCAAGGGTATTAATGTCATTCAATCATGAAAAGCATTTTAGGGAGTTTGAGAAGAAAGTTTATGGGCTGCATTGGGTGTCTGGCACAAGAACAGACAACAGGACCAATGGAATAGACTTGAAAACCCAGAAATGAACCTAAAGACCTATAGCCATCTAATCTTCGATAAGGGAGCTAAAAAAATAGAATGGAAGAAAGACAGCCTCTTCAGTAAATGGTGCTGGCAAAATTGGTTAACTACTTGTAGAAAACTAAAGCTAGATCCTTATATATCACCCTGCACCAGAATCAACTCCAAATGGATCAAAGACCTCGGAGTCAAAGCAAACACTCTGAAAACATTACAGGATGGAATAGGAGAAACCCTAGGTCTCCTTGGCACAGACCGAAATTTTCTTAATAGAGACCCAGAAACACAAGAAATCAAAGAAAGGTTGGACAAATGGGATTGCATGAAATTGTAGAGCTTCTGCATGGCAAAGGACAGAGCTCCCAAGATCAACAGAAAGCCCATGGATTGGGAGAAGATCTTCACTAGCCATACAATGGACAAGGGTCTCATATCTAAAATATACTTGGAACTCAAAAAATTAATTCCCCCAACAACAAATCCTCAAAGAAACAACTGCCCAATAAATAAGTGGGCTAAAGACTTAAAGAGAAACTTCTCTGAAGAAGAAAGAAGGATGGCCAATAGACACATGAAGAAATGCTCAACCCCTCTAGCCATAAAAGAAATGCAAATCAAAACAACATTGAGATACCACCTCACCCCAGTTAGAATGGCTATAATCAAGAACTCTAATAACAACAGATGCTGGAGGGGATGTGGACAGAAGGGAACCTTACTGCATTGTTGGTGGGAGTATAAACTTGTTCAACCACTTTGGAAAGCAGAATGGAGGTTCCTCAAAAGATTCCACATAGAGCTCCCCTATGACCCAGCAATCCCACTTTTGGGCATTTACCCAAATGATCACAAACAAGACCACACTAAAGCTACCAGCACGGCTATGTTTATTGTAACATTATTTACCATAGCAAAGATATGGAACCAACCCAGATGCCCCTCAGTAGATGAATGGATCAAGAAAATGTGGTATATATACACAATGGAATTCGATGCCTCCATCAGAAAGAATGGCATTGTCCAATTTGTTAGGAAATGGAAAGACATTGAAAAAATTATATTAAGTGAAGTAAGCCAGGTCCAAAGAAACATAGGTCCCATGGTTTCCCTTATTTGCAATAACTAGTATATGACTGAGTCAAGCAGAAAAGGTCAGACAAGTTGATGTTAGGGGAATGAACCCCAAGATAAGATTCAAATTTTTTTTTTCCTTTCATCATATTTATAAGATCATTTCTATGTTGCTTTGTATGTCCCTCCCCCACAGTATAACCCATACTTTCACTGAATTTGATGTTGCTATAATTTGTGGAGGGGAAGGGAAAAAAACAAATCGTTTAACTAGGGATACAGGTGGACCCATTGCAACAATGAGATGTACAAGTCGTTATGTCGAAAAACGAACTTAACAACTTTGGTGGGGGGTAGGGAGAGAATCGGTGGGGGAGTATGGGAAGGGATGGGAAGGGGAAACAATGAGGAGTCAACAATGCTTGATAAGAAATGTACTTGTTATCTTGCCCATGTAATTGTAACTCTTCTGTATGGTATTTTCACAATAAAAAAAATGTAAATGACAAAAAAAAATCGATGGCTTAATAAAAGCTGTCTAGTAGGGAGGTGGACACACATGTATGGATCAGGAAGATTTGGTTTTCAAACTTGATAATTACCAATCAAACCAAAATTATCAATCAACCAAAAATTTTTAATTGATGAGGGTAAAGAGTAGAATTCTAGCCGGGCGCTGGTGGCTCATGCCTGTAATCCTAGCTACTCAGGAGGCTGAGATCTGAGTTCGCAGTTCAAAGCCAGCCCGGGCAGGAGAGACTGTGAGACTCCTATCTCCAATAAACCACCAGAAAACCGGAAGTGGCGCTGTAGCTCAAGTGGTAGAGCGCTCTGCCTTGAGCTGAAGAGCTGAGGGACAGCGCCCAGTCCCAGAGTTCAAGCCCCACGACCGACAAAAAAAAAAAAAAAAAAAAGAGTAGAATTCTAGAAAAAAAAGGATGGATGGAAGAAGAAAAAAATCAGCCCTCACCAGACTCTGATGCTCAATACAGTGGATGGCTAGGGAGAACACAGCTAAAAAGTATACTCGGATTACAGAAACTAGGTTACTCAACAAGTGGAAAATAATTCCAGTGGAGTGGCAACGTGGGGAAAAATGAGACCAGACTTCAGACAGTGTCTGAAAACATGAACACTACTGTGGTCCAGTACTAGAGGGAAGGAGGAACAACAAATCTAGAGCTGATCTTTTCTTTTCTTTCTTTCCTTCTTTTTTTTTTTGGTGGCACTGGGATATGAACTTAGGGCTTCATGTCTGCTAGGCAGGTGTTCAATCATGTGAGTCACATCTCCAAGACTGGTTTTTTGTTTTTTTTTTTTTGCTGGTTATTTTGGAAATGGACTTCAGTGAATTTTTCTTCCCAGGCTGGCTTTGAACTACGACCTCATCAGCCTGAGTAGCTATGATTATACATCTAAGCCAAAGGCACCTGAAAGTCCATTAAAATGTTCAGAAACTGAGCACAGTAGCACATACTTTGCATCCTAGCATGTGGGAGCCTGAAACAGGAGGACCTGTGACAATTGTAGGCCACGATTCTAGGCAATCGAGAACCTGCCTCATTGAAAATAAAAACTGGAAAGAAAGAATAAAAGGTACGATGATGTGGGATTAGGTTCAAAGGCAAGAATCCACTCCATTCCTTAGTGTTAACTGTTTATTGTGCTAGATATATGTGACACAAAGATAAAACTGTCTCTCAGGGACTTAATGGTTGAGGAGAACATGGCTCATGGCTGTTCTACTCTAGGATAAAACAGCCTAAGTAATCATAGGTCCAATTATAACATGAAAAAAGTTATGTTTCCGTATTTCAATAAACATATCACTTCTTAAACTTTTAAATTTTGTTCTGTCTCACTGTGTAAGCCAGGCTGGCGTGGGACTCTCTACCTTACTGCTTCAGCCTCTGGAGTGCTGAGATGTCAGGCCTGTATCACCAATCATGGCTCACAACATTCTATTTAGGTGATTTACCTGATTCTTTTTAGGAACTGTTTTGTTTGTACACTTGGTTTCTTGAGACTTCCTCTTATTAGTTTTCTTTTCTCTACAAGGTGGGGTCTCCATATTCTCCAAGTTGCAAATATTTGATTGCTAAAAAAGTAAAGTTAAAGTAAAGTTACTATATAGAGCTAAGCAGTTACATTTTAATGCAAAGTTCTCACTTGGTTCTCTTCCATCACACTTGGGCCTGGCAAGGCAAATGCGGTCGACTCCTGGGTACAGCCCAGGCCCCCCCCTCCCCCCCATTTTACATCCTGTTACCCAACTGCAAGTTCTACTGCAGACACTATACCCAAAATGCAAAGGACAGAAACACCAATCATCATCATCTGATTTAGCAAACACAGATCCAGAAGTATAAGGATGCTACATAATTATATTAGAAAGATAGAAAGAACTTTAACTACATAGAGAATCTATAATTCAGTATTTAACTGTGGGGTTATAAGAAAGGAATTATTAGATTACCTGGAGGAACTAGGTTGGAATTCTTGGTTTTCCTTCCAATCACAGTACAAAATATCTTAACATACTATGATATTATAGGAAAATCCAATTTTATGGAATTTAATAAAACAGCAAAAAATATATATCAATGTGAGTTATTAAAACTCCAAGATGAAACCCAGTGTTAAACATATCAAAGGACAGTTTAAGAGAGAGTTGCCGTTATGTTGTTTTCTAGATCTGGGCCCACTTTTATACAATTCATAAACTCATGTAGACCTCAAAACTTTGATTATCTTCCACAAGAATATAATTCTGAAAGCATTATGTTCTTCAGTGGATTAGTCTTCTTACAGGATTAGTCAAAATCAAATTAGCAAAACATCATTACTCTGGATTACATGCAAAACAGGATAAGGTATCAACTCTTAATGACACTGACCAAATAAGGATTTGACCCATAAAAGTTTATCATGAAGAGATCTGTGCCTTCACCACTTACCTTCCTTCTGTTAGAAGTCCGTGTTACTCTATTGACTTTATGGGAAGACGTTTTTTCAGGGTTATTTGAAGAAATAAAGGTCTCTGTGCCTGATAATCAAGACAAGAAAAAACAGGTTGCTAATACAGAAATATTACATGCATCATCTTGTGGAAACTCTAGATGCTTTATTTTTGGATATTGCCATTGCTTTTTTGTTTTTTCCTAAACAAGAGTTTTTATTTCGAAAGGGTTTCAATACAACCTGTCAATTTTTTAATACAATGCATTGTGATCAGTGTCACCCCTTCCCATCATTCTCGCTTTTGCTTAAAATATTACATTTTAAGCCAGGTGCCAGTGGCTCACGCCTGTAATCCTAGCTACTGAGGAGGCTGAGATCTGAGGATCACTGTTCTCAGCTAGCCCAGGCAGAAAAGTCTGTGAGAATTTTATCTCCAATTAACCACTAGAAAAATCGGAAGTGGTACTGTGGCTCAAGCGGTAGAGCATTCACCTTGAGGTGAAGAGCGCAGGGATAGCGCCCAAGCCCAGAGTTCAAGCCCCACGACTGACAAAAAATAAATTACTTTTTAAGCCTAAATTACTTTTGCTTATGATATTTCACTGTTGTTTATAATATTATATTTAAACATAAATTACTAAGAAGAACAAATTCAGACCCAAAAGTGTTAAAAAACAAAAAAGGAAACTTCAAGGTTTACTAAATAACTTTTACTACTTTGCATGTGACATATCTCAATGCTAAGACAACACCCTAAATCCTAACGCTGTGAACACATGATTACTAAGACACATTAAAATGCACATTATTCATAATGTCCATTTATTTCAAACCACATTTTGTGGAATAAAGTTGAAATTAGGGCATTAATACAGCTACGAAAATATTGTATTTAAATTTCTTAAAGTTTAGGAAAATTTTGATTTGATTGCTTTTATCAGTATGAATAAAAGGTAGTCTAGTATGTTAAGGGTTTTTCAAATGTCAGTGGCTATACTGAAAATCAGAATGATCTCAAATACATAACCTAATGAGTAGCTAAAGCTCCTAGAAAAACAGAACAAGCCAAATGCAAAATTAGTAGATGGAAATAAATAATAAGATTAGGGCAGAAAGTAATAAAATGGAAAGACAAGTGTAAAGATTCTGGTTATCTGAAAAAAACACATGAGACTGATAGACCCCATCCAACCTGACCAAGAGGAGGAGGAAAAAACCCAAATAAATAAAATTCAGAGGTCAAATGGGACATGACACACACACACACACACACACACACACACACACTCCTCACTCACTCACTCACTCTCTCTCTCTCTCTCCCCAGAGGATCATAGGGGAATATTTAAAAAAAAAAAATCTACATTTAAATAAACTGAAAAATCCAGAGCAAATGGGTAATGTTTTTGACCTACCCGACTGAACCAAGAAAATATAAACCTTTAAACAGATCTATAACAAACATAGATCTATAACAATGCAATTGAAGCAGTAATAGTTTCCCAACAAAATAATGCCTAAGAAAACCAATCCATAGTCAAATTCCATAGGACCTTTAAAGAAGAAATGGCATCAATACCTTCGAACATTTCCATGATATAGAAAGGGAAGAAATAGAATGCTATCAAATTCTATGAAGTCGGTATTATAATATTACCAAATACAACAAAAACAGAATTTTAGACAAATCTCTGGTGGACATAGACACAAAAATTCTAAACAGAACAGTTGCAAAGATAAATAGCCCACAGAATGGGATATTTTTACTAGCTCTGTTATATCTAAAGTACACGTAGAGCTCAAAAAGTGAAACTCCTTAAAAATAAAGCCTCAAAGAAACAACAACTCAATTAATAAATGGGCTAAAAACTTAAAGAGGGCTGAGTTCTGGTGGCTCACACCTCTAATCTTAGCTACTTAGAAAGCTAAGATCTGAGATCCCAGGCAGGAAAGTCCATGAGACTCTCACCTCCAATTAACCACCATAAAACTGGAAGTGGCGCTGTTGCAAGTGGTAAAGTGCTAGCCTTGAGCTGAAGAGCTGAGGGACAGTGCCCAGGCCCAGAGTTCAAGCCCCATGACCGAGGGGGGCAAAACAAAACAAAACAAAAAACTTAAGAGACCTCTCAGAAGTAAGAATGACCAATAGGCACATGAAGAAATGTTCAGCATCTCTGGCCATAAAAGAAATGCAAATCAAAACAACTTTGAGATTCTACCTCATCCAGTTAGAACGGCCATTATCAAGAAAACTAACAGAAACAGATGCTGGTGAGGATGTGGCCAAAAGGGAACCCTATACACTGTTGGTAGCAACATAAACTTGTTTAGCCACTCTGGAAAGCAGTATGGAGGTTCCTCAAAAGACTAAACAAAGAGCTTTCCTATGACCCAGCAATTCCAGTCCTGAGCATTTATCCAATAGAGCACAAACAAAGTCACACTAAAGCTATCAGCACAACCATGATCACTGCAGCAACGTTTACCATAGCTGATATGGAATCAATGCAAATACCCCTCAGCAGATGAATGGATAAAAAAAATGTGGTATGGAATTCTATGTTTCCATCAGAAAGAATGATATTGTACCCTTTGTAAGGAAATGGAAAGACTTGGAAAGTAAGAGAAGCAAGCCAGACCCAAAGAAACATAGGTTGTATGATTTCCTTCATTTCTGGTAACTAAAATGTGCCTATAAATCAACAAGCAAACACACTGGATGATAAAAAGAAAAAAAATATACCTGGACGTGATAAATTATTCAGGACTCTAGACATTCACACAGTGAGACCAAAGAAGGATATAAGCTTGGAGAGGATCATACAGGCTCAATAGCTATGTGCATATGATCATATAAAATGATATTTACTGAAATGAATCCAAGAAATAGAAACAAGAGTAGTTTATGTTACTTTGCTTCTTGTTTTTTTATTTTCCTTCTGTTTTTTATTTGTGTATATTTTCTTATATGTAAGTTGATCTATTTTGGGGAACATAAGGGGGAGCAAGGAAATGGTGGGACAGAGTGAACAATTTAGCAGTGATACTCACTAGAAACTATGCTGAAAATAAACTATACAACTTATGTGGGAGGGAGGTCAGGAGGGAAAAACTGGGAGAAAATGAGAAATGGTGACACTATTCAAAAAGAAATGTACTTGTGACCTGACTCATAATGATTAAAAAAAAAATTGCAAACAGAATTCAATTAATAGCTCATTAATAAGATCAGACAATCACAATGGTTTAATCCCAGAGATATAAGGATGGTTCAACTTATGTAGATCAATAGATGTAACAGCACATAAGAGTCTGATGACGAAGATCACATAATCATTTCAACTGACACAGAAAAAGCCTTTGATAAAACAACAGCATTTTACACTATGTGCTCTGAAGAAACTAGGAACAGAAAGAATGAACTGAACATAACAAAGGCCACATATGAGAATCCTATATCCAACATCATACTAAATGTGAAAAACTGTCATGAAGCTGTCCTGCTATCAGCAGGAGAGGGGAAGGCAGATGAGGAGAGAGGGAATGAGGGTAAAGATGGCCCAAGAACTTTATATGCATGTATGGCAACTGTTGACATTGTTTAAAGGGTGATCAGGGGAGAGGGCTGGATGGGGTGAGGTAGAGGAGGTACATTGTACATATTTTGGGGAATGTCATGATGAAATCCCAGTATACAACTAATGTATGCCAAAAAAAAGTGACCCTAACTATTCAAATAATTTCACTTGTGCATTGTAGCTTACTTTAATACTTAACTTGAGAAAGCAGCAGGCTGCATACAGCAAGTTTACAGAGTGGTACCTATATAATGCAAGAGATTGGGATGTAATTTCTTATAAGCTTTTCTAACCACAGTATCTGGTTTTGCAAACCAGGCATAAACATTAAGAAAAATATAAACATTAAGAAAAAAAACAAAAAACAGATCACGTGACAGGCAGACCTGTGAGTTTTGAGATGACACCTACCTGAGACAGCCTCACACGGTGAAGATTTATTAGGACTCAGAACAGGGAGCGATACCGGAAGTGGCTCTATGTTTTCCTAAACAAAAGGAAAAAACAGTAGAAAGCAAATCTCCTGAAATTCAGTGGCTAAATAATATGAACTTTTATTCAGAATAAAAATGAGAAGGGCTTATTCTGTCAAAAGGAATTATAATAAGTATAAAGAATAATAAGCATAAAGATGAGAACTGTAGCAGAGCATGGAGGTACATGCCTGTAAGGCATTCAGGAGGTTAGGAAATTTCAGTCCAGTCAAGATGACATAGGAGACCATCTCTCAGGGGAGGAAGGGAAGGAAAGAGGAGAGAGGGAGAAGAAAGGGAGGGAAAGGGTAGGGGGCCCGGCGACAGTGGCTCACGCCTGTAATCCTAGCTACTCAGGAGGCTGAGATCTGAGATTGCGGTTCAAAGCTGGCCTGGGCAGGAAAGGCTGTGAGACTCTTATCTCCAATAAACCATTCAGAAAACCGGAAGTGGCACTGTGGTTCAAGTGGTAGAGTGCTAGCCCTGAGCTGAAGAGTTGAGGGACAGAAGCCAGGCCCAGAGTTCAAGCCCTATGACTGACAAAAAAAAAACGGGGAAGGAAGATGGGAGAAAGACAATAACAAAAGATTAAAAAGAAGTCTAAGCACGAAAGGATAATCGTATAATGTTACTCTTCATCTCTCCAATAAAATGTTTACTGTCATCGACTAAAAAGAAAAAAAAAGTATTAGAAAATCAAAGTAAGTGGCCCACTGCTTGGGATGGAGCCTCTTGAACTTCTTTTTTCATGGACTAGCCTCAAAGCATAATCCCCTGATCTCTGCCTCCCAAGTAGCTAAGCTACTTGGGTTTTACTTAGATTAAGAAGCTGGCTTTCTGCTTCTCCCTCTTCTTCCAATCCCTCCCTGTCCTTCTCCATGCATTCTGGCTGCCAGGCAGTACAGAAGCCATTTTACCACCCAGCCGCTGGGAGGTTCTGCCTTAGGGCTGGGACACCTCTGAGACCAGGAGCCAAAAATCAACTCCTTCAGTTCTGTCAGGAGTTCTAATATAGTCAGTGCTCGCACTCAACAGGTTCAGCCGGATGAACAGCTGATGTATCACACTCACAAGATTCTCCTCCTTGTCATCAAAATTGGGTTGAAGTAACTGCTCAGGAACTGGTGACAGGTCGGAGGGCTGGGGGCTGATGCTGCTCAAGTCCTTCTGTCGAGCAGGTGTGCCTCCTTTACGCAGTGGAGTGTTAGCTGGCAAAGACTCATCAAACACCTCGGGGCTGAGGTCCTCTCCAAAGGTCACTCTCTTCCTCTTCCTCGTGGTGTGTGGAGCCAGCACCTTACAAGCGTCTTCATCTTCAATGTGTAGGAAAGGCGAACACGTGAGAAAATGAAACTATTTTATCTAAAAGGATATACTAACCAGGTGCCAGTGGCTCACACCTATAATCTTATCTACTTGGGAGGCTGAGATCTGAGGATTTCAGTTCAAAGCCAGCCTAAGCAAGGAAGTCCATTAAATACTTATCTCCAATTGACCACCAAAAAGCTGGAAGTGGAGTTGTAGATCAAGTGGTAGAGTACCAGCCTTGAGTGAAAAGGTCAAGCTAAGTGCAAAGCCCTGAGTCAGAGCCCTAGCACTAACACCAAAAATAAACAAAAGGGGCTGGGAAGGTGGCTCAGGGGTAGAGTGCTTGCCTCACATACATGAGGTCCTGGATTCGATTCCTCAGCACCACATAAGCAGAAAAAAGCCAAAGAGCGCTGTGGCTCAAGTGGTAGGGTGCTAGCCTTGAGATAAAGAGCTGAGGGACAGCGCCCAGAGTTCAGGAGCCATGAGCGACAAAAAAAAATACAAATAAATAAAAGGCATATACTAGACTATTTCAACACAATATATTCAACTATTACTGGTATTACTAAAAGAGTTTGTAGAACAACTTCAAAAAAAAGAGAGAGAAGCAAATTTCCAATAAAAACATGGCACAGATTTAAAAGTAAAAATATGTTTATCTGCCAAGTCTATAAAATAGGAATGAAATGTTGTTTACAAGTTCCACCAGGAGGTTAAAAATAGGTGAAACAGATTTTTGGGCGGGGAGGGCAAATGGGGGGAGGGGAGGCAGGACCACAGGCACACATGCAAGCCCTCTAACATTAAGCCACATCCTCAGCTTAGACCAATTCTGAGACTGCAATCATTCTACTGGTCCCAGGGGCTCTTTATTTGCATGGAATAAAAGAAGCATCAATGTACTCTTGAATCACTAAAACCTGACGCATCACATCCCGTTTTATTATGTCAAAATGAATTAACTTAAAAAAATATTCTACCTGCTTTTTGTTCTTGGCAACAGCTTGAAGGACTGGAGACAAAGCATGGACGCGGCCCGTGGTTGCAGAGGCTGTGGTGGTGTTCCTAAACAAGACAGTCACTGAGAATGGAGAATGTTTCCCTGCAAGGCAGATGCTGGAGCACTCAGCGTGACCTTAATTCTCATCATCATTCTGGCTTAAACACCAGTGTCAGTACAGGGGCTTGCTCCACATACAAATATGAACACATGCAGGAATAGATGCACATATACACAACCATACTGCCGGAAGAATGCTCTACCCAGGGGTGAGTTCTCAAGGTGTAACCCCTCTGAACAATTAATAGACAGGTGAAAATGGCTATTCACAATGAAGCTGAAACAATGTCTTGTCTGAGGAGGATGGGGAAAGGGCAGAAGAATGGAGAGTGGAAGGGTGGGTAAACATGGTCAATACTCAACATCCATAGGTGACAAGGAACCAGATGACTTAAGGGGCTGGGTGGGGCTGGGATAGACTCGGGGTGTGGGGGGGGCTGGGTGGGGCTGGGATAGACTCCGGGTGTGTGTGTGTGTGTGTGTGTGTAAAGATGGAATGAGCAACACAGATCAAGACACACTGTATTCATAAACTGACATGTTAAATTCACTCTCCTTGGTACCTCTATTGAAGATCATTTAAAAAGGGAGATAAAGATAAAGAGCCTGTATTATGAAATACTCAATGACAGACATTTGTTTAGTTACTAGAGTAGCTGGAAGGAACTGGGTAGGTCAATATTGTAAATAAAAAAGAATTATCATTTTAAAAAATGGCCTGAGGTGTAAGAAGTACAGTAAAACAAGAAAAACAAAACCAAAAAAAAGGCAGGCTGGCTTTCAACCACAATCCCCCAGATCTAGGTCTCCTGAGTAGCTAGAGTTATAAATATGAGACACGGGAGCCCAGCTCAAAGTATCTCTCAATCACCACTCCTCCTTTCTCCCCAGTCCTTGCTCCCATGAACTAGTTCATTTTCTCCAGCGTAGCCCTTTCCCACAACAGAGCCTGCTCAAGTCACAGTCCTACCCATAGCAATGTCCTTAGAACAGCTATATCCCAAGCCAGTTATCTTCCTGACCAGAACATGAAGGTATAACACTGAAAAAACTTACACGGCATACATCAATCACATGCAAATTTGTTTTCATCAAAACAACAGAAGGAGTACATAAATAACTCAAACTTTATAAACCAATCAATGTTGCCCAACTCAGTATCAATATCCCTTATAATTCATCAACTCAGTTGTCAATATCATCCTATGATTCTAGTGGTACGACTTGGGAGTTTGCTGAGTGATGTCATTAAGAGGAGAAGTAAGACAAAAGAAAAATAAGACACCGTAAGTAGTGATGGAGGGATTAGGGATCCAAATGAGCTCTTCAACCCAAATGAAGTTGTTTAACAAAAACATTTAAAACAGCAACTGTCAGCTGGACACTGGTGGCTCATGCCTGTGATCCTAGCTACTCAGGAGGCTGAGATCTCAGGACCTCAGTTCAAAGCCAGCCCGGGCAGGAAAGTCTGTGAGAGTCTTATCTACAATTAACCACCAGAAAACAGGAAGTAGCTCTGTGGCTCAAGTGGTAGAGCGCTCACCTCGAGCCGAAAAGCTCAGGGACAGCGCCCAGGCTGAGTTCAAGCCCCACAACCAACAAAAAACCAACAACAAAAACTATATATCAGAAATGGGGAGACTTATCTGCCAAGGGCCATTTGGGTATTTGTAACATCACTCACGGGTTACACAATATGGTCTCAGGCCAGCCTAGGCAAAAATACTCACAATGGAAGATGCTGGGTATGGTAGCTCACACCTGCCATCCTGGCTACAGCAGGAAGTATAAAATAAAAAGACTAGTCTAGGTGCATGCCCAGGTAAAATGTAAAGCCTCAAAGTAAGAGTTTAAGGAGGGCTAGAGGCACAACTCCGTGATGAAGCACCCTCCTGGCAAGGCAGAGGCTGACTTCAAATCAAACACCACAAAACTGAAGAAAACAAGAAAGAGGAAAGGAGAGCAAGCATAGAGAGGAAGGGGAATAGATCCTTCGACACTATCATGTCGAGCTGTTGCTTGAGGAAATGGGATCTTCCTACCTGCCTGCTCTCGGGAAGTAGATTAACAGGTTTCTTCAACACAGAACGAAGCCCAGAGGCCTGGGGCAGTAGGGTGTCCTCAGTGCACACTGGCATGGCGGGTGATGTGACATCTGGGCATGCGTGGGCGCTCACTCCTGCTACGAGCCCATCCAGGGGGACAGCCTTTTCCTCCACGCCGCCAGCAACCACCCGTCCTTCGAGACAAAGCCATCAGCGTGAGAGACAGAAGACGCCCAAGCCTGCTTGTTTCACACCACAGACATCTCATATGAGGCATGTGCAAAGATAATAACGTGACTATTAAGGAATTTCACGGGACGCAGGGCTTGCCCTGCTCATTCCAGCTATTCAGCAGGTGGACATTTGGAAGATCATGGTCTAAGGCCAGCTTGGGCAAGTTTAGTACCTCATCATAATAAAACAAGCCCAGCATGGTGTCAACAGCAGGCCTATAGACCCAACTACATGGGAGGCCTCAGTAAAAGGATCAAGGTCCGAGACCTGTCTGAGCTAGAAGTACAAGACTCTACCCCAAAAGTAATGCAAAAGGGGCTGGAGGTGTGGTTCAGATGGTAGAACACCTGCCTAGCAAGGGTAAAGCCCTGAATTCAACCCCCAGTATTGCAAAAACTTAACCTGTTTGAATTCTATCTGATAGTTTAAAGCAAAACTGGTAACATCTATGGGCATTTCACTGAAGTAAATACATGACCAATAGTGCAAAGGGCTAGAGGAGCCACGGAGTGGCAGGCCTGAGCTAGAGCTGTCCAGTTCTGTATTTTATGGAAAGCTATACAATATTATCTGGAAGAAGACGGTAAGAATATAATTGCATGTTGGAATCCCAGCACAATTAACAAAACAGAAAGGTTTTAATGGGCTAAATATAACTAAAAGGCAGCAAAACCACAAGTGCGCCTGGACGGTATTCCACTTGCCCAGTAAATGCAAGGTCCTGAGGTCAAACCCCAGTTCCACAAAAATAAATATTCAACTATATGTCTTATAAAAACTTTTACTTGAAGCCGGGCGCCAGTGGTTCATACCTGTAATCCTAGCTACTCAGGAGACTGAGATCTGAGGATAGCAGTTCAAAGCCAGCCGTGGCAGGAAAGTCTGAGGTTCTTATATCCAATAAACCACTAGAAAACTGGAAGTGGCACTGTGGCTCAAGCGGTAGAGCACTCACCTTGAGCTGAAGTGCTGAGGGATAGTGCCCAAGCCCAGAGTTCAAGCCCCACAACCAACAAAAAACAACAACAAAAACTTTTACTTTAAAATAGCCCAAACAAGTCAAGCGCTGGTGGTTAATGCCTGTAATCCTAGCTAGTCAGGAGGCTGAGATCTAAGGATCAAAGTTCAAAGTCAGCCTGGGCAGGAAACTCTGTGAGACTCTTATCTCTAATTAACCAGCAAAATGCCAGAAGAGAATTGCGGCTCAAGTGGCTGAAAGCTAACCTTGAGCTCAAAAGCTCAAGGACAGCGCCCAAACCCTGAGTTCAAGTCCCACAAATGGCACATGCATGCGCACATGCACATGCGCACACACACCCACACAGAACACATGCAAGCCATACACACACAAAAGCCAGGAGTAGAAGTGTGACTCAAGTGCTAGAGCACCAGTTTTGAAATGGAAACACCAAATGAGAGTAGGCGGCTGAGTTCAAGACCTAGTATCATCAGCACTTATAAAATAATAAACAAAATAACCCAGGTAGAACAAAAACAATCCTAACAACTTGCTAGAAACTCAGATACAAGCAAATTGATGATGGGAAAGGCTAAATGATTGTCACATAAAACACCTTCAGTACACTAGAAAACAGAAGTGAAAGGATACTGATTCTCTAACAAAATATGCTTGTTTGTAGGTCTTGAGTTTGTTTTTTCCCTCGGAGTGGGGGAGTTCACTGTGTGTCATCCATAGGTGTGGACTACTATGCTTGGCTGACCCTATTCCACACAGTATTTGACAAGCCTAGAAATATTCATGAACTCTGGACAGCAGTTCGAAAAGAAAAGATTGCTCAGAAAATGGTTAAGTCCACAATACCTTTAAAAACATTAAGTCCACAATATTCTTCCTCGGTCAAGAGTTCTAAAAATGTAGAAACTCGTTAGTGTCCCCCAATTTTAGTATGGCCACACTAATCACAAATGTCACTGGCACTGAGTTAGATTATATACTTACCATTTGAAGCCTCTGTGAGCTCTTCAACAAAAACAGACTCCTCAACTGCAAAGCCAGATTGGGTAAACCCAAGGTCAGATGATTTCTGGGGAAGAAACATTCAAGAGTTAAGAAGTGGCTCAGAGCGGTGGCACAAACCTGTAATCCCAGCTATTCTGGAGGTAGAAATTGAGAGGATGGTGGTTCATGGCCCACCTGGTCCTCAACTAACAAGCTGAGTACAGTAGTGCCTACCTATTGGTTCTAGCTACTGGGAGGATCAGGCAGGAGGATCTCAGTCCAAGCCCAGACCCCATCTCAAGGACCCCATCTCAGCTTGGGCTGAGGCTCAAGCTGCAGCAAGCAAGAGTCTACAGTGATTTAACGATGGATGGTTCATCCTGACTGTACCCAAACATCTCCCCAAACAATTTTCTTTGGCAGCCTGTTAGAAGCCTAGAAAGCTGTGTTATCTGTTTATCCACTGAAGAGCAAATTCTCAAAATAAAGGAAAGTATTATATAATGACTGATCAAATATAAAAAGGGAAATAAGTAGTAGCTAGGAGAAAAAATCTATTGCTCTCAACTTTGCAATCATTTCTGCATCACGCTGCACAGCCAGACAATCAAAGTTCTGATGACAATTACTACTGCTTCAGTCAGATGATGATTTTATATTAACCTGAATATAGCAGAAGGGGCAACTTTGAGACACAAAAGAAACCCACTAGATCTGGGAATCTCTACTAACCAACATGCACTTAGCAATGCACTGGGCTAAGTGACAGAGCAGGTATAAAAAAAGAGTTCCAGCTGCGATGTGGCAATTGCCTCTTCCCAAAAAGAAGGCAAGAAGCTCCTGGAAAAAACTAGAACCAAGAGCACAAAGCAATAGAAGGCACTCTGAGCCGGGCACCGATGGCTCAAGCCTGTAATCCTAGCTACTCAGAAGGCTGAGATCTGAGGATCGCAGGTTCAAAGCCAGCCCAGGCAGGAAAGTCCATGAGACTCTCATCTCCAATAAACCACTAGAAAACCAGAAGTGGCGCTGTAGCTCAAGCAGTAGAGCACTCACCTTGAGCTGAAGAGCTCAGGGACAGCAGGGACAGTGCCTAAGCCTAAAGTTCAAGCCCCACAACTGACCAAAAAAAAAAAAAAGAAGGCGCTCTGGAGACTGGTGGTCACTCATAGTTGCATGATGGTCAATGAACTTCAGGAGAGGTATTTTCCTCCCGCCTTAGGAAAAACTACAGCCCTGTTCTTTAAGAATCTTGATAGGCTTTGGTGGTCACAGGCCAGAAAACTCCTTAAGTCTACTTGAAAGAAGTGAGCAGAACAAAAGGAATGGCTGAACAGCATCCTGCTTCCCCACCAGACTTAGGCAAGGCAGGGCCAGTGAGTGGAAGTGCATAACAGCGCCACACACACAATCCTTAGTCACTACTGCAGGCAGCTGGAGTTGATGCTTAAATCACCCCCGTCCATATGCCCAAAGCACAAAAAGCTGCTTGCTTGAGGAGCCAGCACTTCAGACTCACACCAGTTACCCTAGCTACTCAGGAGGCTGAGACCTGAGGGTCTCAGTTTGAAGCCAGCCCAGAGAGACAAATCCTCAAGACTCTTAATTCTAATTAACAAGCAAAAAGCCAAAACAAGAGACATGGCTCAAATGGTAGAGCACTGGTTGTGAGTGAAAAAGTCAAGTGACAGCATGAGAGCCTGAGTTCAGGCCTCGCACTAGCACAAACAATAACTATAACAGAAAACGAAAACAAAAACTGGCTTGAAGACAAGACCGAATCATCCCCTCACGCAGAAGACCCCAGGGCTCTTTCCATAAAGTCTTCTGCATCCAATTAGTGGCCGAAAGCAACCTACCTATTAGAACCAATAAAAGTAAAGTTAGCGTGTGGGAAACATACTTGAAATTTAAAATTCAGTCACCATGAGGTTGAACTAATACTGCCTATGAGCCCAGTGTGTGTGTCTATGGAGAAGGTGTGACTCACCTCAAGGCCAGCAGCAGCAGCAGCACCAGAAGCATGCCGCCTCGGGGTGCCAGCGGTCAACTCCTGCACATCCTCCGTGGCTTTTCCATCCAAGGTACTGAAAGGGTCAGTGGACTTGCTCTGCGAGGATATTCTCCGACGTTTGGATGAGTTGGTAGAGGACCCACACTGCTGGTATTCACCAAGGCGTTCCTTCTCAGCTACTTACAGAAAATAGGAACAATGACACAGGAATATAAATCTCCTCCCACCTCCCCCCCCCCCCCCCACTTTTTTCTGTATGTGCGCTGGTACTGGAGCTTGAACTCAGGGTCTCATGCTCTCATGTGGCTTTTTTTTTTTTTTTTTTGCATAAAGCTGGTGCTCTACCATTTGGGCCATGGCTCCACTTCCTGGCTTTCTGCTGGTAAAGTCAGCCCAGGCAGACTTTGGATCATCATCCTTAGATCTCAGACTCCTGAGTAGCTGGGATTATACACATGAGCCACCAGCACCTGGTAGTATTTTCTTTTAAAGTATTATTTTAAAAGCTAGTATATTATAGTACTTTTATGACAATTCATTGTTTATTGTCTAATTTAACAATGAAAAGGAAGATGTTTATTACTCAAAAAGAAAATCTGAGTGAAAGAAACAGAGTATGACTACTAAAAAGATAATCGAAAATTTCATTATTAGAATAAAGCTTTTCTCAGACTTTGTGATGTACAGAGACACTGAGTCACATTTACACTTCTGACATGGTATGGCAGGCCTTCTAAATTTGCTATGAAGCCACCCATTTTCAACACTGTAAAGAGAATGCTTATGATCTAATGCTGTTCTGTTTCGAGTCTATGTAATTTTTGTGAAAAAATATAACTGCAATGTTCTCTCTACAAAAATGGGAATTTAACATCTACAGAATTACAATGATGGTCCAGGTTAAAAATTCAAAGTCCACGCAAAAGTTCAAATAAGCAAGTTATAGTCTACAAATACAAATCAGGAAGAGTTTCAGAAGTGGCACAGAATCTTCTGGAAGCTCAGAGGGTAAACTGATTCCTCAGAGGAATGGTTATAATGATCTCAGTTAAGACCAGGACTGTCCAGTCCTGATACCTGAAAGTGTTTTGTGACTGAAAAATTCAAAACAACTGAAAAATAACATACTGCATAATAATCTCAGATCCAGTGAGGAATATGGCAGACTACTCTGCTGTCAGCCTGAACATACTTGTAGTTACCACCAAAACTGGGCATTGGCACTCACATAAAAATTTGCCAAACAACAGCCATTCCATAAAAAGCAAGCATTGCACATTCAGATTTTGCCCTGTGCAAAAGCTGAAGTGATCTAGTTAACTCCAAGCTCTTCAAAGTTGAAACTCAATTGTGACGATGTTGCAATGAAGGCTTGTCTCACCATGGTCAAGACAAACCGGCTGGGCTGGCAGTGTATCTGGGTGGTACACTTGCCCAGCATTCCCAGGCCTTGGGCTCTATCCTCAGCACAGAGAAGCGAGAAATGCACAGTGATGTATGCAATGTCTTGAATTTTAAATGTGAGGGTCCATGTAAAGACTTTCACATTACAAAATTAAGCTTTTCTCATGTCCCAGGAGCTTGGGACCCAAAAGTCAGTCAGCCTGAATGCAGTCTTGCCACTCACGCAAGCCTGCTGCCTCACACCCACCTTCTGTCTCTGAGAATTCTGGACAGTGAGCCATTTTCTTGTTTTCCTTTATGGGGTGAAAAGCTGACCGGAAAGCAGATATTCGCTCTCTTAAAGAACTAACATTTCGATAAGGTCCAGGGCTACCCTGTGAAGGGACAGACATGAAAAGAGTTTTATAAATCCAACAGTTTCTGTGTTCTAGGCCTATCATCACCAAATACCCAAAGGCTTTTTGAAGATGAGAGGTAATGAATGAACCAGTGCAGCACACACTCCTGTCTGGACACTGCCTGTGCTATAAGCATTGCGGCCCTCTGCTCCTCCCTACTTTTCAAAACCTGAGAAAGAGTGATTAATGGTTTATGCGTAGTCTCAAGCTGGTTAACATGAGACGAATGAGCCAAAAGCAGCCTGGAACTGGCAGACAAAAGGCATTCCCTGTGATTTGCAGGTGAGCAAATCTCAGAAAACATGGAATCCCAGAGATGGACAAAGAAGAAGGGGCAGAAGGAAGCTGCCCACTTGTGAATTTTATCAGAGTGTGCTCAAGTCATCTGAGTGTCACCTTTTGTTGCCAGGGAAATTACCTCCTTGGGGGGCAGAAAGCCAGTCATTCATTTTTTTAAAAATCCGGTGGGGTAAGTCCAAGGCCTCTCTTGAAATCCTGCTGACCAGGTTCCAAACAAAGATTACTTACTGAAATGAACTTTATCATACTAGCAGAACAGAAGTAATCAATAATGGGAAGTTATCTTATAACAAGGTATTGTACAACATTTAAGAGTTCAGTACAGTAATCTCATCCACTCAGAAAAGACAGGTGGAAGGCAGTTCTAGGCCAACCCAGGCAAACAGAGTTAGTCTCATCTCAAAAACAAGCCAAGCATGGTAGCACATCCCTGTAACCCCAGCTGCTTGGGAGGAAGGGAAGGGGATCCTGGTCCAAAGCTGACTATGGCAATATGTGCAAGACTATCTGAAAAACAAATTATAAGCAAAAAAGACTGGGGTATGACTCAGGTGGTAGAGGACCTGCTTAGCAGGTACTGTAGAGCCTGATTTCAATTATCATTACTGCCAAGAAACAGAATTCAGTTCAGACAAAAAAAAATTCTGATTTTTCTTGTTACTACATTGGTATTTCCACTGACGTTAGAACCTGTGGCAATGTTTAAATTCTCATCAACAGGTAAGAGTAAAAATTACCTTCTCAGATATCAGATGGAGAAAAAGTAGTTAAAGTCTTGGAGACATGTTTGATGATCTGTTCATACACTTCATTCTATTCTCAGTTAACTATTTTCAGAAAACCAACTTTCTGTGACATAACAGGAGAGCTGAAATTTGGATACATGTGGTGATGCAAACATTTATGACAAACAGCACACGACCTTCACAAAAGGCTCTCTAACAGAGGAAAGACACACAAACTACCCTGAAGTGGCTTTTGTGCTCTCATATTACATCATGGCATGCCTGGTTTAAGGTCCTAGGAACTCAAGCACTTTAAAATGCTGTTTAGTACAGGAAACTAAAATTCTCTAGTCAAAAATGTTTTCTCCACAGGGCAGCAGAAGTAAAGCCTAACTGGGGTTAACAGGCCACAGCAGAAAAGGAGGGGGACCAGGGCCAGCCAGAACAGGCCGGCAGTTCTAGAAGTTCTGTGGAGGGGCACTGGCAGGAACAGGAGCCAAGGCATCTGGCAAGAACCCCAGGAAGGAAGACAGGACCACCTGGAAGGAAAACCCAGCTCAGAATAATGCATAGGAAGCAATGATGTCCACACCCGAAAATGCTGACATCACGGAAGAAAGCTAGAGAGACTGGGAAGCATGAGAAGGGAGCATTAGGAAAGAGGAGGCTCATTCCGCACTGTTCCCTCTGGAGGCCGGCAGTGAATGCCAGGCATGGAAAGAGGAGGAAACAGCAGCACAACTGTCATTAAGACACAGGGAATCAGCCCTATCAGCCACACACGCTAAAATGAAAGCCCAGACAAAGGAACTCCAAACTGCTCCTATAGAAATAAATAGCCATGGCTTAGTGGTAGAGTGCTCACCTAGCATGCAGGAAGCCCTGGATTCCATTCCTCAGTACCACATACACCGAAAAAGCCCCAAGTGACGCTGTGGCTTAAGTAGAATGCTAGCACTGAGCAAAAGAAACTCAAGGACAGTGCCCAGGCCCTGAGTTCAAGCCCCAGGACTGGCAAAAAAAAAGTAAAATAAATAAATAGCCCAGCAGTACTAGCTGATCTTCTACCTTGTGAATAAATAGCTGGGCTATTTATTTATCTGAGATGGGTCTAGAACACCCAGCACACCTGGCGTGTGCTTCCAAAGTGCTGCACAAGGACTTCGTACCTCACAGAATACTCAAGGGCTAGGGCTAGGATGACTCCACAAAACTGGCCATTCTTAGTGCATTAGGGACATTCGATGAAGCTGACATTATGTCCGTGAAGGCCTGACAGCTTGAAACCACCACCTGAGCTCCGGCTAAGGCACTGGCAACAGAAGATGAGCCATTTGCTCTTTTCTACAAGGCTATCTAAAGACATTCTAGAGAACCCTCGTCTGTTACACACCAATAGAAAGTTATCATAAAACTATTATAAACCCTAGCTGGGTGCTGGTGGCTCATGCCAATAACCCTAGCTACTCAGTAGACTGAGATCTGAATATTGTGGTTTGAAGCCAGCCTGGGCAAGAAAAGTCTATAAGCCTTTTATCTCCAATTAACTACAAAAACCCCAAAGTAGCTCAAGTGGCAGAGCACTAGGGACAGTGCGTAGGCCCAGAGTTCAGACCTCTAGACTGGGGGGCGGGGTAGAGGTGGGTGTGCGGACAGGGAAGGGAGACAATGGCGACAATCAATGGACGGACAGACACACACCAGAGACAAGCTACTAAAAGAAAACAGTGCCTCACCTCATGCTAGAAAAATTGACACTATATATACAAATAAAAAGAGCTCTCTAGTTACCACACGCATGCTCAACCTCATCAAGAGCTTTTAACACACTCTTAACCTCATCGAGCACACTTTACTCACTCTACACACACTGACAACTGGCTCCCCAGATCCAAATCAGGTAGATACACCCGGAAGCAGCATCCTACACGAGCTTAACAAAGCAAAGCAGGGACTCACCTGGAGAGGGGAACACCAGGATCTCTCCAGTGGAGATTTCTCTGCATTCTTCAAGTTCCGCTGCTGAGCAATGAAGCGGATCAGGTGGTTTGTTTCAGGAGAGCCCCGAGTTCCAACTGCAGAACGTCGTCTGAACTTTTTCAGATAGGGTGATGACTTCCCTGTAAGAAAGCTTCCTTACAAATTGGAACAATACAAAGCAATCACGAGTGATCATGTCCAATGCCCATGATACCCCAGCCCAGAGAAAGCAGAATAAACACAGTGCAGACAGGCGAAGTGGTTTGCACATCAGCAGAAATCAGGGGATGTGTGTTGTCCTGAATTAGCCCATGCTGCTAGAATGGCAAGCACCTGCTCATAAGTCATTAATAAAGCTATTAACTAAAAACACAAAAACACTTTCATTATCTTTAATTTTTGTTCCACATTTTCTGCACAAAAAATTGGATAATGGATTGCCTTGGACTGAGAATTTCTCCTTTTCTGAATTAAGTCTTATCCCTGAGAATCTGAAAAAAATTATTCGCCACGACACCTGTACAGTAAGTCCTCCCTAAACCATTTCCTGTTGCATGGTTTCAGACACCTACAGTCTGAAAACAGTTCATGGGAAAGGACAGAAATAAACAATTCATGTTACAAATTTTGTATCACTCTAAGCTGGCCAGCTCCATCTTGCTCTGGACACAGATCATTCCACTGCAAACACCACGATCTATTATGTCACTTCCTGGCTATCAGGTAAGACTGTTGGAGGCTGGTAGAGCTGGCAACAAGTACCCTTGTTTTACTTGGTAATGACTCTATGCTCAATAGTAGTGATGCTGGCAATTCAGGTGTGATAAAAAAGAAGCTGCTCTGTGCGTTAAGTGAAAAGAGGAAAGTTCAGTAAGATATTCAGGAATATGAGCACAGAGGTCACTGCATCACAAGGGCCCTGACTGAGTCCACGGATGCTTCTCTCCATGAATTTGTAGGAGGATGGCATTACTGGGTGGTGCAGTCTCACCGGTAGCATACTCCCTCTCTGCTTCCTGCCTGCCATGAGGAGGAAATTTGTTTCTCCATATATTGTTCAAGGCCCTATTTTCTGTCTCACATCAGACCCAAAGCAATAGACCGAGCAACCACAGATCAAAACCTCTGGAACCATGAGCCAAAGTCACCTTTTCCTCACTCTAAATGGCTTGTGTCGTATATTTTGTCATTGCAATGAAACTCTCAATGCATATTCACAAAACTTTGATTACACAGTTAAGAACTGCTCCATGCTAATCGCATAATCTCTTACTTTGCTTACTGTGATTATCAAGTGTAATCACTAGAATGTATGCCTAGGAAAAAGCAGAACTAGCCTTAGTTCTAAACCCATTGAAAATTGTGGAACAGATCCCTGTGGAGCTTCACTTTACAAATGAATCTCACTTCTAAAGTTTGAAGGTGGACAGAGGTGCAGAACCCAGTCTGTCAGTGTTTTTTTTTAATTGCTCTTTGATTTCCTCTTATACGTACTCATAAAATGTAGAACTATTCATATCATATCATTTCTTGGATCTCATGTGTCAGGTTGAAAAGTTCCTTGCACTATTCTTTTCCAAGATGGTCAGGAAGCACAAGACTTAGGACCATGACCATGCTGGGGCTCTGAGTTTGGTCATACTTGCTGCTAGACAAACTGCAATGCACACAACAGGCCAGGTTTCCAGGGTCAGTCAATTCGGATACTCAGTTATAAAACAGTCAGTATAGAAGTGCAACTCCCAGTCAGGTGTCACTCCCATATCCTTGGGAGATTGAGAGGTAAAGGATTGCAGTTTGAAGCCAGCCTGGATAGGAAAGTCTATGAGACTCCTATCTTCAATTTACCACCAAAAAGCCAGAAGTAAAAGTGTGGCTCAAGTGGTAAAGTACCAGCCTTGAGCAACCAAACTAAGAGAAGACACAAAGCCCTGAATTCAAGCCCTGGTACCAAGCGTACACCGCCCCCCCCCCCCCCCCACACTCACACATGCAAATGACACTGAACTATGCTTCAGTTATTCTTAACGACAACTTTTCTTACCTGCAGAGTTCTTAACAAAACTTTCAGGTGTAATTCCCAATTGCTCCACTGTTACTGTGGAAAAGTTCAAAGGTGACTTAAAAGCATCTGAGGTGCAAAAATTAGGAGCTGCTTCCGTGAGGTTCTTCTGGGGCGTCACAAGCTTTCCAGTCCCCAAAATAAAAGAGGCATTTTCTGAAAACAGACAGCAGCGTTAAGAGGGGGTAGACATCACTTGTCAGAAGAAATACTTGAGTCTTCAATTTCACAAGGAGGCAGCAGAGATCGCCACATACCGGAGTTATTAACAGCAGACTCCTTGCTTTCACAGGGTTCCTGGTCCTTTGAACTCGGATCCATCTGAAAGATGAAAGGGGGAAGGGGGGGGAGCCCACCGCCAATATCAATTCATGTAACTGGCTGAAAAAGCCTCCTTCAAGACTGCATTGGAATACAATGCAGTGACACGGAAGTACAGAGGGTATTTCTGGGGTGCAAATTAAAGACAAATGGAGAACACAAAAGCAGCCGTCGTTAAGACCTGGCCAGGGCTGTTCCGCCTTTCTGGGCCCTGCTCCCTCCCCCCCCGGAACCGCGTTAGCAGCTGCGGCCGGGTGCATTTCCACAAGTTCCAGCCCGGGGCGGGGGGGGGGGGGGGGAGCCCCAGGAGCTCTGCTCCTCAGAGCCTCCCGGTTATGCGGGGCAGGGCTCCGAGAGCCCGGCACTGAGGAGCACCGAGGCCCCAGCACCGGGCCCCGACGCGCACCGACCTACCTCTCACGCCCACCGCACCTCCCAGGGCCCCAACCGATTCGGAAAACTGCGTGCGAGGGTCGCGCGGTCCCGCCCGTCGTCCGGACGACCCCGGGGGCCCGCTGGGCTGCAGCACCCCGCAGGCGCCTGGCCGGCTGCTCCCGGCCCAGCGGGTCTCGATCCCGCGGCTCCCGACGCCCCCGCGGCCCGCCGCCCGCCGCCAGATTCAAACCGCGGCCCCGCCCCCGGCAGAGGCGTTACTGCGCGAATCTCTACGCGCCGGCCCGCACGTGTGCGCGAGCCCCGGCCCTCCCGGCCGCCCCTCGCTCTCGCGTGCGTGGCAGGGGCGTCCTGAGCGCGGGGAAAACCCTCCCCAAGTGGCCGAAGACACCCACAACTCGAGACGCCAGCTGCAACACGGAGCCCGGGACTACTTTCTGCTGAAGAGCCTCGCGGAGCAACCCTTCGGTTAGTGTAGTCCCTCCTCCCACTTTTGATTGGAGGCTGTAAACTTCGAAAAAAGACTCATTGGACCAATCATGATACAAGGCCGGGTTGGCCGAGTAGCCGGGACTAGAACCGCCTGCCAGTGCTGATTGACTGGTATGTAGGCCTTTTGGAGCCCCACCTCCTTCGTTAAACCCCTCCCGCCAGATGCAAATGAGTATTACCTAGAATTGAGCGTGCGCCTGCTCAGTAACTCTTATCGCCGCCGTCTGGCTTTAGGTTCTGCTCTGATTGGTTGATACTCCTGTCCGTCTACTAGCCTTCAGGCTCTCTACCCTCCTTCCACCCGGACTGGGTTCGTCTGAGCTCCTCCCAATGCAGGGTTGTGATTGGTTGAGTTCTGGAGAGTACCGCCAGTTGATTGGGCACAGCTCCGTGTCGATCACGGGGAGGTGGGGGAAGGGCCCCAGGCAGGCTGAGACGCCTGAGGGGCGGGGTGGGAAGGAGGGCCGGCCCGCGGTGGGGTGTGGGACTGCGGAGTGTGAGTGTGTGGTGTGTGTGAGAGTGAGTGTGTGCGCGCGTGTCAGCCAGGGCAGGAAGGTGGCGAAGGGCGGGGAGTCCGCGTGGGTGGAGGGAGGGGTCGGGCGGGAGGAGAAGGAGGTGGGCGGAGGGCCGGCGGGGAGGGTGGCGGCGCACTCCGGACCCGGCGGGGGCCGCGCCATGAGGCGGGTGACCCTGTTCCTGAACGGCAGCCCCAAGAACGGCAAGGTAAGGGGGCGCCGCCGGGGGGGGTCCCGGGGATCGGGGATGAGGGGGGGTGCGCCGGGCCCCGCGGCCTCGGGACGCCCGGGCCCCGCCCGCCGCTGTCCCCCTCCCACCTCCCCCCCGGAGCTCCAGTCCGGAGCCGCGGGGCCCCGGGGCCGCGGGGGACCCGAGGGGGCCGCTGTCACCCGCCGCCCGCGCGGCCCCCCGGTCCTGCTGACCCCGGCGCGGGAAATAAATGAAGTGAATGCGTGGAGGAAGCGGGCCCGCGGTGCGATCCGGCGGCCGCAGCCCCGGGGTGCTGGCTGCGGGCGCCCGGGGCCCCTCGGCCCGCGACCCCTGGCCTGGGAGGGCGGAACGGGCGGCTCCGCCCGGCACCCCCGGGTAGGCCTCCGTCCAGGGCGTGGTGCTCATGTGTTTCTCCAGCCAGTCCGCAGGGATCCTGAACCTCCTCCGCCTCCTCCGGTGCCGTGCACTGCCCCAGCCCTGAAAGTTGCTCTGCTACTTGGGAAAACGCTGGCTGTGCCCTGGCAGCGCACAGTCAGCCTGGAAAGAAGCTCGGGGAAGCTCGATCGCAGGCGCTCACCCCCAGCACCCTCTGGAAAGGCCGACTTTAAACAGCAGAGCGACCTCAAAGTATTTTATCTTCAGTGGTTTTCCAGCCACTCGGCGGTGTTCCACACGCACGGGCCGGAAGGGGTTCGTGCGTTCTCGTGTCGTGTGTCCTGGGTTCAGAGGCTGAATGAATGCCCATGCCCCAGCAGTACCTGCATTAGTTCACGTTCTTGAGCGCCTCACCACATTGGCAGCCTCTCTGATCCTGTGTCACTCTTGCTAAATCTGTTGTATAGCCTAGCTAGTGTTCTAAACTTTTACTGGAGATTGGGTGTGGTGGGGGTAATGGAACCTCAAAAGCAAACGTCTCTGCTCTTTACTATGAAAGAGGCTTAGACCCAATCATAAATATGTAACTATCCGCCAAATCTTGTCCGAATCTATTGAATCGTGTTGTTGCTCAAGACCCGCTGAGTTGTTCTTTCTTCTTCATTGCCTTCACCATCTCCCTGCTAGAGGCTGAACTCACCCCTGAAGCCACGCCCCCCAGCTCTTTTGCTTTTGCTTTTTCAGACGGGGTCTCCAGCTGACTTTGCTCTGACAGGCCTCTGACCAGATCCTCCCCTCTCTGCCTCCTGAACAGCTGGAATTACAGGCATGTGCCACCAGTCCTCATCCGATACAATTTTCAATGTTTTTTTAAGCTTTTTTTTTAAAGCTATCCTAATTTTCACCAGGAGAGATTTTTGGAGTTAACCTTTTACTAGAGAATCCCAGAAGACCAAGAACAGTCCATTTCAAATAATTACAAATAAATATATGGTATGCTGCAGAGATCATAAAAGTTGAAATGCTTTCTACTAAGCTAGAGAGCATATCCTCCAGCTCAGCATTCCTCTTGGCTGGATTAAAAAATATTAAAATGACTTATTTGATAAAAGAGAAGAATAACACTTAACAGTCTGAAGTATATATATTATATATTTAATATTTATGTATATAAATAGGATTGGCAGGATTCCTGAAGAACATGCTAAAACAGTGCCGAGTTTGATTTCTCATCCACCAGCTAGAATGTCTATATCACTTACATTGTCTTCTTTACCGCGTTTCTGCTATTTTTCCTGGTCATAAAAGTAACCTGTTTTTTCGTCTCCTAGGTGGTTCTGTGGTTGTCATGCTGGGCCAGAGAGCTGCGGGACGGGAGTGGGGAGGCACAGATCTCTTTCCTACACCACAGGCTCACGTTAGACTTTGTCTGGCATATCAGGATGAATAAGTCAGGAGTGCTTTGATGTTGGAGGGAGGCCTCCGCACTCTCCAGAATCATTTTCCCATGGGAAATGTACCTGCCACAGAGAGTCTATAGGACAATCCATCAGAGTTCAGGACAAAACATGCGTATTATTCATGTTCTTACTCAAGATATAAAATAACATGAAAACTTCATCACTGTAAAACAACAACAACAAAACCCAGGCATCTGCATTCTGGGTCTTGTCAGGCTTCCCCCACGAAGGGTGACAGGAAGCAGCCTCACTGAAATCCTTTGACACGTTGTGATAGAAAGAAGCAGACAGGGCCACTGTTTATGTAGCATCTAGACTCAACTAAAGTAACCCTTGCCACAGTGCCAAGTGATTCAAAGATGCTGCAGATAGAAGATAGCATTAATTATGCGAGCAAAGTAAACAACTAGAAAATGGCAGAGCTGCTGCTTCTGGAAAAAAAAAAAAAAACCTATGAGACTTAAAAAATAAAAGGATTCCTTTGGATCTTAAGTCAAAAATGCCAACTTTTAAAAAAGACTGAGGTACTCTATAATAATTGCTGTTAACAGTCAGCTTCCCCTCAATGTATATTGTATTTTGGAATATTATCCATTTATAGGGTGAGGTCATCCTAATTAGGAGGACATTTAAATATATTTCCCAGCATATGAAGACAAATAGCTGTGGGATTATATTTCTTCTTCCCCCCCCCCCTTTTTAGAATGTTGAATGTTTAAAATCAATATCGTATTTAATAGGATCTAAATTAGTGGCAAATATTTCTGGGATCTTTCTAGCCAATTCACAGTCCAAGTAAATAAGAATCCTTCTATCATTTGGGAACATGTGTACTTTCTTATGCTGCTATGTAATTTATAAATAACCATATGATGAGTACACGCCCCAAAATGTCTTTGGGATGGGTTTGTATTGTCAAAAGTGTTTAGAGGGCTGGGAATATGGCTTAGTGGTAGAGTGCTTGCCTAGCATACATGAAGCCCTGGGTTCGATTCCTCTACCACATAAACAGAAAAGGCTGGAAGTGGTGCTGTGGCTCAAATGGTAGAGTGCCAGCCTTTAGCAAAAGGAGCTTAGGGACAGTGCCCAGGACCTGGGTTCAAGCCCAAGGACTGGCCAAAAAAAAGAAACAGAGGTATTTAGAGACCCTAGTCCTAAAAAATTGGGATTTTAAAACTGGTGGTGGTGCTTTAAATTACTCTGGAAAGATCTCTTACCTTTCTTGTACCTCAGAGTCCCCATTCTCTTGTTTTTACTCCCTGTAACCCTTGACACTAAGGAGATTGAAATGAAGATCCAGACATCCATATATGTACGGCTACTAAGCAACTTGTTGTTCATGAAACCAGTTTCTGTACATCTTGAGAATAACATGCTTGAATATTCAGTAATGAGTTGTGCAAATCATGGGCCTTCAGTGTGCCTCATTCATTCATTCAATACTCACCAGGTACTTTTTATTAATGAGCTACCACTGGAGCTCATTAATTATTAATGAGCTGCCAAACAAACTACTAGAGACAGTAGTTAGTAAACATCTTCATTCTATACTGATGTTCACATTCTTGGTCCAGGAAATAACTCTTTCCTTCTGGCTTTGATTTGAGATTATATATATAGTGTGTGTGTGTGTGTGTGTGTGTGTGTGTGTGTGTGTGTGTGTGTGTGTGTGTGTGTGTTATTCAATCCTCAGATTTGAACTCACTATATTGTTGGCACTGAAGGTAAAAAAGTATGTGGACCTCTGCCTCTTGAAATCTAAACATCAGTGAGAACCCTATAAGAGCTCACTCTTTATGCTTAAATCTTTGATGTTATATTCCATATGTACAAAAGAATGCAATAAGCAATGTTACTATATCTGCACATGACTTAAGTAGTAGAGCACTTGACTAGCAAACATGAGGCTTTTAAGTTCAATCTCCAGTACCACCAAAAAGAAAATTAACACATATACTTAAGAGAAAAATAATGTAACAGATATCCATAAACCTGCATACAGTTCTAAGCACTAGTATATTGGCAGTTACTGTGTTTATTTTCCTGTTCTCTGGCCTTCCTATAAAGATAGCTATGCTCATGAATTTCATATTTTGCTATTTTTAATCAATAGTTTTGTCACATTAGTATGTCCACCTAACCTACATGTTTTTTGTTTTGGTAACTTTTAGACATTGTGTATCGTTGGTATCATATGCAATCCTTTGGAACTTTACTCATTTTTACTGCCTCATTGAAGCAGTAAAAACCACAGCTGGGCGCTGGTGACTTTATGCCTACTCCGGAAGCTGAGATCTGAGGATCATGGTTCACAAGCCCAAGCAGACAACTGCTAGAGGCTTCTGTCTCCAATTAAACAGCAACAAGCCAGAAGTGGAGCCATGTTGCAAGTGGTAGAACATCTGCTTTGAGTGGAAAGAGCTGAGCAAGAGTATGAGGTCACCAAGTTCAAGCCCTAGTATTGGCACACACAAAAAGAAAGACCGGTGTGCAGTGACAGCTGTCAGAGCCTGGATTCACATGCAGTCTATCTGCACAGCCACAGCCCTGCTTTACGTAGCGTAAGGTTGTGGATTGCTTTTGGTCTCTAGGAATTTCTTAGCCTGTATTTTTGGGGTCCTACAGTATGGGGCTTCAGTAAATAAATGAGTCCTAGAAGATAGAGGGATCCTGTTACACAGCTCTTGGAATCTCATCCTAATCAGATTTTCTTAGTGCTTTTTAGACTGAGGTGGTTTATAATTTGTGGGTGATGAAATTCACTGTTCAAATTAATTTGGTGTGTTTACAGGTGGTTGCTGTGTATGGAACTTTATCGGATTTGCTTTCTGTGGCTAGCAGTAAACTTGGCATAAAAGCCACCAGTGTGTACAATGGGAAAGGCGGACTGATTGATGACATTGCTTTGATCAGGTAACTGTCGCCTTTTTCTACACTGCCAGGAGTGTGCCTTTGGCTTCTTATTGCTGTGCTGTTTCCCTTAAGATGGCAAAGTGATCGTCTAGAATTAGTTCTTTGGACTTAAGATGAATTGATCAGATAGAGAACTCTTAGTATATTTCAGTATATTGATAGTCTTTCTGTAAAGCTCACACATGGCATTAAAAAATTTCTTCTTTATGGTACTTTACATAGATTTAATGAGACATGCAGTTGTTTTCCTCCCTCCCTTCTTTTCTTTCCTTTCTCTTCCCCTTTTCTTTCCCTCTCTTTCCCCTTCTTTGGCAGTTTCTCACCATGTAGCTTAGACTAGCCTCAAACTCATGATCTTCCTGCCTCAGCCTCCCAGGTGGTAGGATTAGAAGCATGTACCCCCATGCTCAGCTTGGCATGAAGCCTTTTTGTGTGTGTGTATATTCATCTTGGGGCATGAACTCAGGGCCTGGAGACTGTCCCTAAGCGACGGGGTTTTTTGTTGTTGTTTTTTGTTTTTCGCTCAAGGATAGCACTCTACCACTTGAGGCACTACTTCCAGCTTTTTCTGAGTAATTCATTGGAGATAAGATTTTTCTGATCTTCAGATCTCAGCCTCCTGTATAGCTCTATATACGTCTATTTATTGCTAAATTCTTTTCATGAGAATGCTTCAAATTCTATAAACATCACAGAGACAATTTTGTGAACACATGCTTAATGAAGTAGAATTATAAGTAGAAGTAGAACCCAAGTTCAAGCCCCCGTACCACAATGGTACTTTGGGAGAGTTGTTTTTGGTTTTTATCCTAGCCAGATTATCTTTTTAAACCAACCATCCCATTCTTTCCTTAGAGGGTCAGAATTTTGGACCAGGAAAGAGATCATGAACAGAAAATATGGTAAACAGAACACAAATTACTTTTTAATGCCAGTGATGGTGTGGTTGCTTTTCTGTGGGTTGTTAAATTGGCAAAACATAAGTTTTTAAAATTGATGATGTGAAGATAATGATGCAGTAAATTACAGTGTGTACCAAGGGCAATCTCTGTGTAAATCCAGGACAGATGACCTTTCAATGTATTGTACTGCCTTTGAAGTTAACCAGTTTTAGTCTTTTCACTTTACAACATCTGAAAAATTATAGGACTTACCTGATCATAGACTGACCCAGGTCATAGATTTTCGTTAATGAAAGGAAACTTCTATACTAGTCTGAAAAAGTTAACCAGCATGTGAGCAAGTAGAGAAAGTCTGAACAAACCAAGATGATTTCATAGTTTTTCAGAACCTGTCTTCTAGTCCATCTTCAGGTTCTGTGGATGATTGGATCAACCTAATTTTCAAACAAATTCTGCTTCTAAGAAAACCTCAATGTGCTTCTGGGATGTCTTACAGGTCATGTATGGCATAGAAGGATATAGTGGAACTGTGCTGTGTATACCTGCTCACTGGCTTCCATCTCCAGTATAGTCTTATCATTTATTTAGACTGACGCTGGGCTGGGCTGGGCAGGAAGGCAGACACGCACTGATATCTAGAATTGCAGGTTAGAGTCCATCAGTTTACATTTTGGTGTGACATGGGAGCATTAAATATTTAAGATTTCCCCCGGGCGCCAGTGGCTCATGTCTGTAATCCTAGCTACTCATGGAGCTGAGATCTAAGGCTCGTGATTCAAAGCTAGGAAAGTCCTGAGACTCTTATATCTAATTAACCACCAGAAAACTGGACGTGGCGCTGTGGCTCAAGTGGTAGAGTGCTCACCTTGAGCTGAAGAGCTCAGGGACAGCGCCCAGGCCCAGAGTTCAAATCCCACAGCTGACAAAAAAAAAAAAAAAATTACATTTCCTTGTATTTTTCCTGATATAGAAATATGGAAATTTATTTTTATTTCTAAAACATGTAGCTGCTTTTGAGTTTAGAAAGAATTTCTATAGTTTATTCACAGGTAAAGAATTAAGATTAAAAATAGAAGTTGACTGTGGCTTTAATCATATCCTTTCAGCATAATAAAACATTCTAAAATTAACAAGAAGGCCAAATGAACATAATTTGCATTGTGATTTTTATTTTTTTTTTTTCTCTTCAAAAATGTATCCTGTCAAGCAATTGCTGGTGGCTCACATCTGTAATCCTAGCTACTTAGGAAGCTGAGATCTGAGGATTATAGTTCAAAGCCCTCCCAGACAGGAAAGTTCGTGAGATGCTTATCTCCAGTTAACCAGCAAAAAGTCAGAAGTGGAGGTGTGGCTCAAGTGGTAGTGTACCAGCCTTGAATTAAAAGGCTAAGGGAGAGCACAAGGCCCTGAAAAAGAAAAAAAAAATAATCCATGTACAAAATCTTATTTGAACTTAAATGGAAACATTAGGTTCCAAGAGTAAATAAAACCCTGGAAATTTAGCTTCTTCACAGAAAGATTGATAGCAACAGTCTATCCTGTACCGAATTCTAAGGAACAGTTCCTATAATCCACAGATGATATGATGGTGGCTTTTAAATTTTTTTGTTTTCCCAGGGATGATGATGTTTTGTTCGTGTGTGAAGGAGAGCCATTTATTGGTAAGTAACTTAAAAGTCATTTTCTTTTGCCAAAATGATAAAAAAAAAAAAGAAATGATAAATATTTTTCAATGAATTTTAAACTTTAACATTTAAAAAGTTGTTCAGTTATACTTAGTTCTCCAGGATCATTGGCTGTCAATATTAAAGTATATTTTTTATTTGAATTATATGGTCATTTCAATATGGCTTTAGAGTATGTAGTTACTCTTTTATATTCCTTTTTATGTTCCAGATTTGGAAGTATTTATAACTCATAATAAAATAAGATGATTTTGATTTGATTTTGATTTATTTTGATATTTTAGAAATTGTAACTTTTAAAAGTTTCTCTTTGTTAGTAATTATCAAAATTTTCTCTGAGTGTTTTGTCACATATTTACAAGCATGTATTCCTTGCAGAAAATTATATCAGCCAAAAATAGTTGGCATCAGCTACACACAAAGGCACACCTATATTATTACCCTTAGACTTGGAACAAAGCATATATAACTGAATTTCTCAAAAGAATGAAGCTTTCTAGGCTGGTGCTGGTGGCTTGCACCTGTAATCCTAGTTACTCCAGAGGCTGAGATGTGAGCATCAAGGACCCAAACCAGCTCAGGCAGGAAAGTCTGTGAGGCTCTTCAGTCTCCAGTTCAACAGCAAAAAGCCAGAACTGGAGGTGTGGCTCAAGGGGTCGAGTACCAGCCTTGACTGAAAAAGCCAAGCAAGAACATGAGCTCCTGAGTTCAAGACCAAGTATCAGCACCAAAAAAAATAAAAATAATATTAAGTTGGTTTTGTTTGTTTGTTTTTTTAAAGCATGTAGTAAATATAGATTCAGGCCTGGGGTGGGAAGAAACAACCAGAGCGATAAAAGTAGCAGTAGTGCACCTGTCTAGTAAGCAGGACGCCCAGTTCAAACTGGCACCACCAGAACATGAAGAACTTCTTTAAAAGCTGATCTTTCTTTTTTCCTACACCACCCAAAAGATTTTCTTCCCTTACGTAGAGCATTCTAGAAGCCTGTTTCTTTGTGTGCGAGGTTGTTCTGGGTTTATTTTCTCAGTATGTGGTATGTTCTTTCAATATCTATTTTTAAATAATACATATTTTTACTTTAGAAAAACTTTCTTGAACTTTAAATCACAAGTTTGATCTTCTTCCCTCAATTTTCTTCTTCAACACTTGTTTTTTACATTTGAAACCTTTTGTAAACTTTTTTTTCTCTTTTTTGATCTTTAAGGCCATTTCTTTTTTACCTTTTCTTTTCCTCTAGGCATTATCTGTTGTGTTTATTCTTTGTGTTTCTTCTAATATAATCCTCATTTCTGGAATGGCTTTAGAGTTCATTTTCTCATTTCTGAATTTTATAATCCTATGTTATGTTGTTGTTGTATCCTTTGCATTCATTTTAGCCTGTTGGGATATTAGGTTATGATTTTTAATCTATTGGCACTTCTTTCTGATATATTTTCATTGTCTCTAGGGTTGTGATTGTTTTCTATTCTTTTAATGCTTTTCTGTGGATTTGATCTCAATACTTCTTTGCTGCTCATTTTACATGAAGTTAGTTTTCCTTAACCTGAGAAGGGAGGCATGGCAGGGGTACTTTTTCTAAGTTCCATGACTCTCATGTTCTTTTCTGTTTTCTCTGGGGTATTAAATAATACAGGATTCATTAAAAAAAAAAAATACATTCTGGGTTGGTAAGCCTTCATAACTCTTACCTGAACGCCTTTTTCTTTTGTCTCTGGTCTTTTTGTTGAACTTGGTTTCCTCCCCAGCTTCTTATCTTCTGGGGCATTGTCTTTATGAGGGAGTTTTGCCTGGTTGCTTTGCAAACAAGACAATTTCCAGCACTTTAGATCTTAGTGCAGCTGACTTGTATCACCCACTCTAGGGGTGCGCATGCTGGCCCCTTAGGTATTTTCTGTAGTTAAATAGGCACATTGAACTGTGAAGGCAACACCTATGGAACAATCTAGAATTCTGTGTTCATGGTGGATGCTGTTACTTCTCTGCTTTCCTTCACAAATGCTGACAGCAGCTGCTCTTGCGGCTGTGGGTGCGGGGAGTGGGAGGAATGCCCTGTCGCCTTGTTCTGTCCTAGGTTCTGCCATGGGTTGTCCTATAGTATTATCAGATGCTTTTATGGTGGATTGAGTTGAAAATTTATCCTACTGCCATCTTTACAGCATTCTCAGTCTTAACACTTTTTATTATTTTCTGCATGTCCTATCTAGATCCTCAGACAGATTCTAAATCACCGGAAGGAGTGTTTGGGTCTAACACAGATTGGCTAACCCTAAATGTCGGAGGACGGTACTTTACAACTACACGGTAGGTTGTATGGGTGTGTGTGTGTGTGTGTGTGTGTGTGTGTGTGTGTGTGTGTGTGTGTGTGTGTGTGTGTGTGTGTGTGAGAGAGAGAGAGAGAGAGAGAGAGTCAGAGTAAAAAAGACAGTTATAGCCCATGATAATGACAATTTGCCTTATAAAGGTTAAAATGTGTTTGTGACTTTAAGTATCACTATCTCATAAATTCTGTGAAATTTGTGAGATTTATGTAATCACTTAATCTCAATAAAAAATTACTTTTTTAAAAGACTGTATGTACAGTCAAAATGAACAGCATTAGATGAGTGTGGTAATGCACACCTTACATCCCAGCACTTGGGAGCTGAGGCAGGGGGATTTTGAGTTTGCTGTCAGCCTGGACTGAGACAAACTATCAGAGAAATGTTAGATCAGAAATATTTGTCAGGCCAACCAGCCAATCGAAGCAAGATTCCATCTCAACCACTGGCTGGGTGCAGTGGTATGTGCTGTCATCTCCGGGACATGGGAGAGCACAAGTCAGAGGACCACAGTCCAGGCATAAAGTGAGGCCCTGCAGTCGTGTATCTTGCTTAAAGGAAGCTAAGACAATATTTAAATCAAAGGAAGCTCCAATGAACTGTGGTAAAAGGCAACTTAACTTTACATTTTTATTTTCCAGCATCACTCCTACCAGGTTATGTAGCATATCAACTGTACTCTTGACTTAAACATGTTTGTTTATAAAGACACACAGAGCCAGTGGCTGACGCCTGTAATCCTACCTAGTCAAGAGGCTGAGATCTGAGGATCACGATTCAAAGCCAGCATAGGCAGGACTGTCCATGAGACTCTTACCTCCAGTTAACCACCAGAAAACCAGAGGTGGCGCTGTGGTGCACTGGCCTTGAGCTGGAGAGCTCAGGGATAGCGCCCAGGCCCAGAGTTCAAGCTCCACGACTGACGAAAAAACAAAACAAAAAAAACAGAGAAATCATTTTATTTTTTTAGGAGCACCTTAGTGAATAAGGAACCCGACAGTATGCTGGCCCACATGTTCAAGGACAGAGGTGAGTACCAGGCGCTTTTCCTGTTCTTTGTGATCTAGTTGTATCTGTGTGCTGACTTAGCAGTAAAATAATTCTTACAGGATTAAAAACTGAGGGTATATGATAGCTTTTCCTGCATATATTCTAATGCCATTTTTTGTTCCTGGGGGGCTTTTTGTAATAAAAACACAGGTGTCTGGGGGAATAAGCAAGATCACAGAGGAGCTTTCTTAATTGATCGAAGTCCTGAGTACTTTGAACCCATTTTGAACTATTTGCGTCACGGACAGCTCATTGTAAACGATGGCATTAACTTATTAGGTGAGTTTTTCAGATGTATATTATTGGCACACAAAGGTATGTAGAGAGAGATGGGCATAGGTAGTCTTTGGCTGGTGTGTATGTGTGTGTGTGTGTGTATATATATATATATATATATAACACTCATACTTTTTAATTTTAGGTTCTAAGATTTAAATTCCATCACAAAGGACTTTAAAGATTTTGTTGCTTTGTTTTTGTGAGTTAAATTGTGACTGACTTGGCATTAAGTTACAGATCTTGTTACGTTGGAAAATAGAGTGGTGCAAAGAAGCAGCCATGCTTTGGGACCCTATGATTCTAGTGGACCCTAAGTTCTACAATTTACTAGAAAATTAACTTGGGGAAAGTCCCTCAGAGTACCTTTTGGAAAGGGGATATTAGATTTTATTACCCTGACCTACTTCACAAAGTGAACAAATGCCTCATTACAAAGCAATGATTGCACATTTGAAAGCTTATAGACTTCTGTATTAGTAAACTTTGTATTATTGCAACAAAATACTCCAGTCAGCTAACTTATGAAGGGGGAAGAGTTTAATTCACAGTTTTGGTTGGCTCGAAATCCAGGATTAAGCAGGCTTGTATGGGCTTAGTCCCTGGTGAGGACAGGAAGTAGCATATCATGGCCAGAGCATGTGTCAGCGTATGTGATCACATCCCAAACCTGAGCAGAGAGAGAGAGAAAGAGTCCTGTGGTCCCTTTTGAAGGCATGCTTTATTTATGCCACTGTTTCTGGGATGACGGGTCACATGTGCCCCCATGTCAGCTTTTTAAAGATGGATTCTAACTTTGTGTGTGTATCTGTGCGTGTGTGTGGCAATGTTGGTACTAGGGTTTGAACTCAGCCTTATGCTTACTAGCTGGGTGCTCTATGACTTGAGCCATGGCACCCAACTTTAGGGTTTCTTGTTGTTGGTCATGAGAGGCTTGAACTCAAGGCAAGGCTAGTGCTGTACCACATTGAGCCACAGCACCACTTCCAGTTTTCTGGTGGTTAATTGGAGATAAGAGTCTCATAGACTTTCCTGACCAGGCTGCTTTAAACTGTGATGCTCAGATCTCAGGAGATCTTGATAAACTGAGAGAGGCCCTAGTAGAACTACTTTATAGTGGTTTTCTGCAGGGAGATATTCTCACGTGGCTGTCCCATGGGGGAAGTCCAGAGATGGGCCCTGGCATGAACAGAAAACCATGTGCTAGTGTGGCTCCATAGGCACTGTGTTGCCTGTCCATGAGAGTTATTTGATAATTGGATCATTAGAAATTGAGTTGGGTTTTCACAGAGCAGATCATGTTTAGGTCAAGGAATGGTGGCACACACGTGTAATCCCAGCTATGCACAAGGCCAAACCAGGAGGACCAAAGTTTGAGACCTGCCCAGACAACAAAACTTAGTAAGACCTCTTTGAAACAAGCCAGGTCTGATGGTACATATGGGTAATCCTAGCTATGCAGGGGGTAGAAGTAGAGGTAGAAGGATTTCATTCTATGACAAAACGTAAGACCGCACCTGAAAAAGAGGCAGTGGGGAAGGGGTGATGGCTACAGTAGAGGCCCTGAGTTCAAATCCCAGTACTGCAAAACGATAACTGTGAGGGGTGTAGCTACTGAATCAGAATAAGCTAACAGAAAGCGCTCAGGTCCTGAGTTCAAGCCTCGGTAACAGTACATTAAAAAGAAAAGTTTCTAGCCAGGCGTTGGTGGCTCATGCATGTCATCCTAGCTACTCAGGAGGCTGAGATCTAAGGATCACAGTTCAAAGCCAGCCTGGTCAGGAAAGTCTGTGAGACTTATCTCCAATAAACCACTAGAAAACCGGAAGTGGCGTTGTGGCTCAAACGGTAGAGCACTCGCCTTGAGCTGAAGAGCACAGAGACAGCGCCCATGCCCAGAGTTCAAGCCCCATAACTGACCCCCGCCCCCCAAAAAAATAGTTTCTCAATTATACTTCAGAGTTTTGTTGTGAGGTTGATGTAAACTTTTATTTATTTCTACCATTTTCCAGTTCAGTAAGCAAAAGATATTTATGGCAAACCTAATCAGATTCACTCCATTAAAAAAGTAGATGAAATGTTAAGATTAAATGAACTAATTGTTTTTATTGGATTCTCAGTAAAATCACCAAATCAGTTGCTTGTGGCCAGTTTAAAGTAATTATCTGAAATAATTTTGCAAATGGAAGGCTCTTGTTTGAATGAACTAGTTTTCTGGTTTTCCCATTGCAGAGCAGCTGGCTTGTAGATATTTCTCAGTATTTTTTTTGTGCCTTGCCCGCTCTTAACTCATTTGTTGAATTTCAGTTCCATTGTGAGAATGTAGCACACATGGAAACGAATGGCTGGCTGCGACAGTGCCCTGCTTCTTGTTCCCACAGGTGTGTTAGAAGAAGCCAGGTTTTTTGGCATTGACTCATTGATCGAGCACCTCGAAGTGGCAATAAAGGTGAGGCTTTTTAATTTTTCAATTTGATCAGCAGTGATTTATTGTGGGTATCCCCAAAAAGCCCCACTAATTTCTTAAAATACCTTTTTCAAGAACTCCCAACCACCAGAGGACCATTCGCCAATATCCCGAAAGGAATTTGTTCGATTTCTCCTAGCCACACCAACCAAATCAGAATTGCGTTGCCAGGTAACCAAAGCATGTTTATGTGACATTTGTATTGCACAAGTACGAGTAGCTTTGGTTTTGTTTTCCAACAAGTTTCATTGTTCTGTCTTCATCCATGCAAATAAACTCCCTGGACAGTGGCATCCTCCGGCACTCTGTTGGGTCCAACCCCCTCCTAGGGTTTTTGTTCTGATTTTGTCTTGGTTTCCTTTTTCCTGCAACATAAAATTTAATTATGGGCCACACCATTAATTTCCTTTCATAATGGCTATCCAAAGAGAGATACACTTGCCATTTTTATTATCTAAGTGTGCCTAGTGTACCAGTTTTTGAATACTTTAAAAAGTATTTGCCCAGTTGCTTATGTGTGGTTAGTCAGTAGCATATACTTTTACCTTTACATATTATAGCAGCGCAGATTTTGAAAACTCAAATATCCATTTGTTTCTTAATAAAATTCCTGAGTTCTTGAATTAATGAGGTTTAAAGCATTACTAAAATTTTAACTAAAATCACACTGATTAGCAAGTATGTCACTGGTAGAGATTTTTCCTTAGAAGCTTCTATGTATAAGTGAAGTACAGACAGACTATATCCTAATATATGCAGAGTTCCTTATGAGAAACACACTTAAGAAATATATTCATGATCTAAATTGCATTTGTGTTTTGTAATAAATTCCCAAGTGACTGAATTATGGTGTGCTTCTGAAAGCTTTGATGGTTAGCTATAGAGATTAAATTTAATTCAGAAGATAATTTAAAGACAATGACACTTTGTGCTTTTTATTTCAGGGGTTAAATTTCAGTGGTGCTGATCTTTCTCGTTTGGACCTCCGATACATTAATTTCAAAATGGCCAATTTAAGCCGCTGCAACCTTGCTCATGCAAATCTGTGCTGTGCAAATCTTGAACGAGCTGATCTTTCAGGATCAGTGCTTGATGTAAGAATCCTTTTGGGCTATAAGGAAAATTAAAACCAGTATGTCTCATGTGAAATGGACATGTTGTAAATTTGGTGTTTGCTTCTTTTGAAACAATTCTTTGTTGTTTTGTTCTGGGGACTGAACTGTATCTGGTAGGCAAGCATTGTGCCCCTTGAGCCAGGCCCTCAGTCCCTGAAACAGTTCTTCTTCAAGAGAACTTAAAAAAATCAGTTCTTCCTGGCTTCCATTAAAAGTCTTGCAAATATTGAATGTATTGAATTTGGCCTTTTCCTCCTTTTTTCTATGTGATTTATTGTTTGCACTATGTGGGATCAAAGTATACATCTTAACCAAGATTGTTCTCTTGCAGTGTGCAAATCTCCAGGGGGTCAAGATGCTGTGTTCTAATGCAGAAGGCGCATCCTTGAAGCTGTGTAATTTTGAGGATCCCTCTGGTCTTAAAGCCAACTTGGAAGGTGAGAGCCTCTGGGTAAACGCCTGTTGTATGATGAGAGCCGAGGGTAATGAAAAGGCCCAGCAAAGGGTAGTACCAGATAGATTGGTTTCCCGTCAGCTTCAGCGTGTGGTCAGTGCTCACACTCTGTGCTGCACAAAATTGAGGACTCCAAGAAAATAAAGCCTTGACTATTCAATAAGGCTTTACTTGGAGAATCAACATCTTTACTTTCAAATAAAATAAACCATTTTGACTTTTTTTGCTAGTCAATTGGAGGTAGAATCTTGTGGACTTTTTTCCTAAGCTGGCTTCAAATGGAGATCCTTAGATTTCAGCCTCCTGAGTATCTAGGATTACAGACATGAGCCACCCATGCCTACCTCAAATAGAATAAAATATTCTTATACTGACCAAAAGGCAGAATTTCACTATGCACAAAGCCAGAAAGGTTGGTTTTTTTTTTTTTTTTTTTGGTCATGTTTTTATAAAGCACTAGCGTGCTGTTGTGTTCGTGAACTGGACATTGTTGATTGTGTGTTTAGGAGGTTTAGTACTCATGTCCCTTCTCATAAACTTATGGAGGCATTTTATAAAAGGACCAGTTATCAAAAGACAGAGTTGATTTCTCTCCTCAAAGTACTGATGAGGTATTATACTATTATCGTACATAAGCAAATCATAACATGGAAGTCTATTTATGTAAGCTGGTTAAACTGAGATTTCAGGTTCATTTCCAATAGGAGTTTTAAGTTGAACTCCTCGGTATCCTGCAGGTGCTAATCTGAAAGGTGTGGATATGGAAGGAAGTCAGATGACAGGAATTAACCTGAGAGTCGCCACCTTGAAAAATGCGAAGTTGAAGAACTGTAACCTGAGAGGGGCAACTCTCGCAGGCACTGATTTAGAGGTGAGTTCACAGCATCTGATGAGTTCCCGGAGTCCAGAATTATCCATTGTATCATGCACAATTCACTGGAGTCACAAGCAAAGCTGTTGGCTGGTACAACGGCCAGGTAGCTCCAATGCAGCTGGCGGGCTGGGTTCCCTTCCCTTGTCCACATCAGTTTCAGTTCCAGAGCTGATCTACCACCAGTCAGAGACCGCTGCCCCAGGGATGGCGCGGGTGACGTTCAGCCTGCCTGGCTTCCTCTCTCTCCTTGTCCTGGGTCTTTTCCATGCAGTACATTTGATTGATGGAGGCTTTATTCATCTAGTGTACTACATTTTTCATAAATTTAAGATTCCAAGGAAGTTAATTTAACTTTGTAATTGAGCCTCGGCCATCCCCAGAGTGTTGAGCAGAATCTCCGTGTCATCTCCCTTTGTTGATCTCAGTTAATATCCAGCTCTATGCATCTACCTGAAGTCACCAAATTGGGCCTGTAGAGTAGCACCTTCAGTGAAAGGCCATTCCGGCTGTACAAGTGTTAGGGCTGCAGAATGGACAGATCCACCCCATTTCTTAATAATTAAGTAAAATCTTAACTATGTTTAAAAATAGGCTTCTTCATCTCATTTCTTTTGTTATTGTGTGGGATTGTGGTAAATTGGTTTAGATAATAGTTATCATATAGGAATTCATTCTGGATCCTCAATGCCTCCTTATATGAACAGTGGGTATGCTTCCTTTTCACCTTTCTGTTGAGCATGTAAACATGTTTTGTGGACATGTTTGTGGCTCAGGGTTACAATATAGATAGAAGAACCTGGCTTTAAGATAGGTGAGACGAAGTGCCAGAAAGAGGTTGGTTTTACAGGAGCAGCGTCCTAATATGGCCACAGTCAGTCATTTCGTGAGGTATCAGCTGAGAACTTAATTCCACACATGCATTACACAAGTCTGCCTTGGTCTTGCAGAACTGTGATCTGTCTGGGTGTGACCTTCAGGAAGCCAACCTACGAGGTTCCAACGTGAAGGGGGCCATCTTTGAAGAGATGCTGACGCCGCTCCATATGTCGCAAAGTGTCAGATGAGGTTTCAGGGGCTGGAGCAAGATGGCCAAGAGGAAAGATGGTTTCCTTAATCGTTTTCTTTCTCCACTCACTCAGATGTCTAGAAGAAATAACACTGTAAGGGAATTTTAAAAAACATTTAGCGGATTATGCTTTTTCTCAGTGGTGCATAAAGGGGGAAAAGTGGATTTTCCCCCCCACATTCTGATTTTAAGAAAAGCACTCACTTAATAGACGTAGAGAAGGAATCTAGATTATACTGCTGCCTTTTGAATGGAGTGGGGGGTGCCTGGTTTTGTGATCAGGAATAGTAGCTCTTACCTTTGCTTTTAAATAGGCATGATGTGGAAATGCCATCTTGGTTGAAGATGCATTTGAGAATTTTAATTTATGAAAAGCACAACATATGCAATTATATTTATTGAATACCTAGATGCAGTATGGATATTTAAATTGTTAAACTTTATGAGAACATTGAAAAGGTCGTTCAGGTTGATAAATAGCTTTAGTGATGCCTCCTTCCTTTAAATACCTGCACACCTTATGAATGTGGTGAGCTCAGACTCCCTAAGGCTCTTGTTTTCAGGTTCATTTTTATGATGTTTACTTTTTAGAACAAGTAGCTACATGAAAAGAATATCTTGTTCTTTCTCACTGAGGCAGAGAGGGAGGAAAGACCGTACCATGGTCGTCACTCGAATCAGATGAAGGCAGATGTGCCTGTAGCTCTGGTGTCCCCAGAATGAGTGTGGTGCAGGGTCATTCTTGGCAAGGTCCATCTACCAACACTGCTGGTCTGGTTTTTTTTTTTTTAGTACACGATCAACACGGGCATGGAGAGGTACTTCAGAACCAAAAATCCAAAGGTGCATCCTTAGTACTCATTTACTCCAAATGCCAATTCATAGGGCCAGCTTAGAAATTTAGTCTTAGAATTGCAGTGGACTTAAGAGTTAATGTGGCAGTTGCTCATTAGAAGACCATATGGCAGGAGGGTCAGCGGAAAACCGCAGACTGGGGAATGAGGAATTTCAAGCTGATGTCTGATAGTAGCCACCGAAAAAAATGCATTTCAAAAGGCATTTGGCTGGTCTAAAGTGTAGTGCCAGTTGGTCAGCACCTTTGCTTCTTTTACTTCTGTTTTCTGTTGCATGTGTTTTGGCTTTGTTTTGTTTAATCAAAATTTAGCCCAGTTTTCTTGAGTCATTATCTCTGTTACAGCAGCAGAGATGGAGCCTTTACTCCTTCCCCTTCCAGTGTCCTTATGTGTACCCCAAGAGCAGGGATGGAAGCTGTGTCCAAATGGGTTCTGAATCCGATAGCCTCATCTTACCTTCAGCAGTGAGCCACGGAGAACCACCTGTCTTCTGGAGGAGGACGACATGGCTTCAGTATTTCTGTAGCTTCTCTCTCGACATATGCAAAGCTTTCCTCAGCAGAGAAGGGCTACCCGGCTCTGTGCGAGGAGGGCGCTTCTCTACAGGGGAAGGAAAGCAACTGTAGAAATAAATTATTTTCTTTGCTTTATTATTTTTACCAAGACAGAGAAGTATTGTATTGAAAGATATCTATTTTCATAATCAATATGTGCCTAAATTATATTTAAATCATTTCACTCTGTACTATATTTTCACAAATTATAGAGTATGTTTGTTCACTTAAGGGTACCTCTGTAGACAAAGCTAAAACTGCAGAAGGAGCTGGAAGATTGAAACACAGTGTGCTTAGAAACTGCATTAATAAACAATATGAAATGTTGGAGAGATATTCCTTCTATTATTTCCCTGCATTTCTCTGATATGGGCTGACAACCCTCCCCAGGGATTGGGGGTTGGGTAGGAAATGTAGCATAGTGTTTGTTATGGACTGATCTGCTTGAAAGTCCACCATTGCAGATTTGTTGCTTTGGACATGATTATTATCCTCTTCTTAGAATGCACCATGCTAACAATATTAGTTATGAACGGAAAGAGGACAGTGCCTTCCAATGATTTACTTGTTTGAGTTCCTCTAGCTGATGAACATGACCAACTTGCTTTATAAAGTTAAATATCTGGTCTATTCCCAACACATTTTTTGTTTGACAACTAGGAGAAAGAACTAGAAAGAAGTTTCCAAATATTGCCCAGGGATGGAAAGTCTACGCACATGGGTTCAAATAGTTGAGTTGGGGGGAGGGAGGTTGGGGAGAAGTCTTAAACTCAATTGTTTAGATCATATACATTGATAAAATTCAATTCTCTGCTTGAGTACAGTCTAAATGAGCAGGAGTAGAGAACCACTGCACAGCTCTGCCATTATCTCAGAACACAGGAAAGTATCCAACCAAACACCTGGCCTTGAGCAGCCAACCAGAAGCATAGATGCCTGTCCCATCACGTACCAAACAGTAGCATGGACAGACATAGCCCATTCCTGGTAAAGCAATACATATGTAACCGAATCTAGTTCCTTCAATTACTATAGTTCCAAGGGAATTTTTGTAAGAAATATTGTCAAGATTCTTAAGAAGGTTTCCATTATAAACCAATTATTTCGCATATTTTCTCTGTTCTCTTAACTAGAATGCTGCCCTGGAATCAGTTTTTAAGTCATGCTTAATATATGAAAAAGAAAATCCTACAATTGTACTAAGTCCCTAAGGAAAAGTATATTTAAAATCAAAAGGTGCACTACTGCAAAGAAAATGGTTAATTATTTCAGCATGAAGCACCTTAGGTGAGGATTAGCTTTCTGGGCCCCTTTCATCACCTGGTGATTCATGTCAGCTGCAGTTAACCTTGAGTTCTTCCTGCTGAGATTTTACATTAGGACATCATCTGCCCTTCAGCAAGCTTATGAAATCATCATCATTATAACTTTGAGGTGTTTCAGTGTTAGAAACGAAGCAATTTTGGAGGAAAAAAATAGGACAAAGTAAAAGCCAACTTAAACCCAATTTATTAAATTGAATTCTTTAGTAAATGGAGTTATGAGGTGCCCAAAAAAGCAGGTCACTAAACATCAAAGCACATTTAATTGCATAGTAGTTGGGTCGTCTAATAGTACGGAAAGTAAGACACAAATTTTGCCTTTATCTTTAAGGTTTCTGTACCTAAGACCAGACCAATGCAGATTTAGAGAACGTGCAGCTTATTGAATAATCTCAGACCATGTTTCTGTGTTCATCTTAAACATTTCAGAGCAATTCTCAAGTTCAATACCAGTTGATTGACACCTACAAGAAACCCTGTGATTCTTGTCCAGAAGTAAGGGGTCCACATAACAGGACTCCCAAGTCTAACTTGCATCCCCAGTAGTCATAACCGAAACCAGAGTTTCTGTTTAGCAACACTTAGAAGTATACCCTTCAAGGAACGGAATTGAACAGTTTGAACCAACACTGTTCAAACCTAACGAATTCTGACTGAGAAATAACCTCTCCGTGTGTGTAGTCGAGTGAATTGAGCTTCTACTCTTTAGTCACCATATCTAAACTACTTAAAATGACTCCAAGTCAGTCTTAATTTGAATTCCCCACTAGCTGTATCCCCATCTTCACCCTGGAGAACTGGAAAACAATCATGAAAGAGGCTGGGCAAACCAGGGGAAAGTGAACTCTGTACTTGAAATTTATATGGCTCTTTACTTGAAATCCTTAAAATGACATTATTTCCAGTTCCATGACTGTCACCTGAGAAGTTACCAATCAACTCTAAAATGAACAAATTGGGTTTTTTAGTGTATATCAAGGTTTAATTATCAGAGAAGATATTTAAAACAAAATCAGAAGAAATAGGAGGACTAATCTGGTTTAAAAAATGCTGCCTCATTCATTCCTTGACTCATTTATTCAAACCTATATTTAATGAATGCTGACTAGATGCCAGGGCCTACTAACAGGTGATGAAATAGGAGAGAATCTCTGACAATCATGGGTTATATAAATCAGTAAATTGTAGGAAGGTAATGAATGAGTAAAGAGTTCTAGTTATCTTTTAAATGCTTGTGTGAATAACATGTCCCAAGTCATGCCTTGGAGTAGGGGGCGGTATATCTATAAAATGTGGATAAAGTTGCCAGGCTAGTGTCACATTCCTGCAATCCCAGTACTAAGGTGCCGAGGTGGAAAGATCATTCGAGTTCTCAGACCAGCCTGGGCAATATATTAGACCCTGACTCAAAGAAACATTTGGGTGCTTATTCCATGCACTTGTTGCTTCTCCCCTGTGCTTGACGCGCTGGGTACATGGGTTTGCACATTTTAACTGTAAGTATCTATTAAACAAGCAGATCTGTGTGGTATGTTCTCACTCTCCATCTGTTTTAGTGCTGGGTTTCTTACCTTTCTCATGCTACCAACGGCTTCAGAGGGCAGGAGGGACTGGTGGGAAAGGAACTGGGGGGTGTTTTCTCATGTTCGGTCTCATCTGCTTTAGGGTCCTGTATGGGTTGGTAAAATGACAATGATCACCTATCAATAAAGCACATGGTTAAAATTGGAAACAACTCTGTGATCACCTGGTTTAAATCCTTCCTTGTGCAAATGGAATCCTAACAACTAAGACAAGCTTCCAAGTGTCCCGACTTCTAATTGCATATTCTCTCTGGAGGAAGTTCTTGTGTACACATTTAACCTCACTTAATACCAGACATCTTTTTTCTTGGGAGAGCTGCCAATTTCCTCAAGGGAATCTTAATTAAGATTAAGATCTTAATCTCTTTGAATGGGGGTCTTAGCTGTAAAAGTTTTAGCAGAGGTTTTAAATGGCCTGACAAGTAAACTTAACAGATACACCAGCGGGTGTCCCAATTATATACACCATTAAAGGGCTTTATTTTTAAAATGACTATTACAAAAACCCTTTTTTCATGTGCAACATAATTTACCAGCAGGAAAGATTTCAATGGCCTAGCAAAATGTCATATAAAAAGGAAGCTAGGAGAATAGAAAAATCACAGTAGGCAACACACCTCAAAGGAAGCTTGAGATCCTGTTGGCTTTTGCCTCCAAACAGGTAAAATTTTGTGTGTGTGTGTGTGTGTGTGTGTGTGTGTGTGTGTGTATGCTATTGTATATCTCCAGGCTTTTTATACTCCTAAAAGTTAAGACCAGGTATGATGGTGCCTAAGGACACCTTGACCTTCAGTGACCTTGTCACCCTAGCCACACCCACAAATGCAGCCTTTGAAAAGAACCCAAAAGCTCATTGACCAGTTAATTTTAGCCACTTTCCCATTAAATGAAAATTAATTTAGAGGCAGGTGACAATGAACAATTAGAAGCTCTCAGAAAGCAAGGCAAGTAGTAGGACTCATCACCTTGATCAGTATGGCGTCCTGTCATTGTTACAGACAGACAAGCCAGCAGTAATACTTGAAAGACTTCAGGACAGATTGTCAGCAAAATGTCCTTAGTACTACCATCTAGGCCTCTGAAAGCTAAGCAACATTATATGAGCCAGAAATATCTAGTAAGGGACTACTTTTCAAAGCAGGTGGTCCAGGAAAAATAGTTGAAAACCAATGAGTAAAATGTAATGGCAAGAAAATGGGATTGACAACAATTGAATCCTGGGTTTTGGTAAGCAAATAATAAAATGAGCACAAAAATAGTACTGAAGATTAGAGTTTAAAGTACAGGTGTGTGTGTGTGTGTGTGTGTGTGTGTGTGTGTGTGTGTGTGAGAGAGAGAGAGAGAGAGAGAGAGTGCACACGCGCACCCACGCGTGTCTACACATTTTTGTTTTGGTTTGTCCCTGGTGGTTTAGAAACTCAAACAAGCAAGCAGATGTCTCTCTGTTTCAATGCCTGTGTGTAAAAACCGTGAGACTCCCATATCCCTCCTCTGAAGGGTTAGCAATACCCATGCGGGGCTGTACCAGAGTAGTTCCTCACTCTTCCCTCCCCCCCCCCCCCCCCCCCCGCCACCACTGCCACTGGTGCATTCTGTGTATGGATGTCCTGCAGCATGGAGCCAGTTCCAAAGCTGCTGGCTGCACTTGTTCTGCTGGCACTGTGCATGGAGTCCTGCTCCAGCCAGCACTGGTCCTATGGATTGCGCCCCGGAGGGAAGAGAAATGCAGAGAACTTGCTGGATTCTTTCCAAGAGGTAAGTCACCCTCAGCTTCAAAGTAAGACCTAGCTGATCTGCTGCAGTTTGGTCATGACTATACTACTATGACATGACTATGACTACTAGACTATGACTACCCAGGACACACAGGCCACCGAAGATGAGCTGTGCACACTGCAGAAGCCATCTTCCTACCTTCAATTCAGACAAAGACGGAAAGAAGTGGGTCAGGACCAATGACAACACGGGCAAGACAGCGTGTCAGACTCTCAGATCTCTATGACATTCAATCAGCGTCTTTCATATCGAGGATGGATGGAGACAGACGTTTAAGCAGAAAGAAGCTGGAGACTTGGAGTCCAAGAGTTAGCAAACTTATAGGGGAAAATATTGTGAAGAAGAAAAGTATAGATTTAATTTCATATAGGTTAGATTACAGCACGAGTACCAGCATTGTCGTGGGGTACTTAAAAAATTATACAGTCTGACTTCTTGCCCAGCACAGGTAGCTTACACCTCTTAGCTGAGACCTGACAATTGAGGTTTGAAGCCAGCCCTGACAGAAAAATCCATGAAACTCTTATCTCCAATTAAGTAGAGTGGACAGAAAGACAAAAGACAGAACTGGAGGTGTAGCTCAAGTGGTAGAGCACCATTGGTGAGAAAAATGCTAAGCAAAAGCAAGAGGCCCTGAGTTCAAGTCCCAGGAC